AAAGTTCATATTATTTATAATGGTTTTTTTCTTCGGATTTTATCAGGTGAGACTACTATTAACTTAATAAAATTCATGTTTGTTTATTGTAGTGGAATTTTAATTTTAATAAAGGAATTTTGTAAATATAGCTCATTTGCGATATTTTATGTATAATTGTAATTAGTAAGACTAATAATTATTGTATGTAACCAATTAAAATTTGTAATTAATTATTTATTTGAATTTTAGCGAGTTGAGCATATTACATTGATTGGCAGATTGCTGAAACACTAGGTTTATGATTTTAAAAAAAAATTCAACAAAAAATCTAACAGAGAGAATGCCATATTTCAAAAGTTTGAGATTACGACCCATAGCTGGAGATACTTTTTTTTCTAAAAACTGTTAGGTGATTTTGTGGTTATAAATGAAAACGTTTAGATTTTTTTAGTCTAGCAGTAGTTCAAACGCTAGTCCGTTACTGATCTTTTCCAAGTTTGTTTTAGCCTGCCTACTTTTCTCTTTTCTTTGGGATTCCGATCTATTGCTTGTTTCATGGATTTCGCATGGTGTGTCCAATCTATCCCCATTAGCTTTTTTTTTATTTCTTTGCAAACAAATTTTTTTTGTCAAATTAAAAAAAAAGTACATAGATCAGCTTTATTAATTTTCTCAGGCCACATGACGTTAGATATTTGATGCAGGCATCCGTTAAGTAAACTCTTTAAGTTTTAAAAAAAAAAAAAGTTTATGTTACTCTCCACGTCTCAGAACTAAAGAGGATTCTCCTTTACACTAAAACTAAACAGCAATAGGTCATATCATGTGCAGCAAATTCCATCTGCAGATTTACAACTACACGACCAACACCGCACCACAAAGGTCAGCCACTTTACTGACCCCTGGCCTGGAGATAACCCCCGCAGAGTTAAAAGAGGCCAAAGGTCAGTCGAACATGAAAAGTCTCGAGACCTTGAACTTGAGACAAGGGTCAGCCAATGAAACTCAGTTAAAGCTGCTCAGGTCCCAAGTGCTGAGTTTGAACGAAAGTGTACACAAGCTGTTGATGAAGCTGTCAAAGGAAACAGGTCAAGAGGTCAAGGTTCATCCTATAGTGAACGTGGTGCCATCCTACCCGGATGAATCCGCCCCCAAGCCGAAAAACTGTGTCCACTTAGCAAAAGCTCCTCACGGGATCAGTATCTGCACTTACGACCCCAAAGAAGACGTGTGGGTGTCCGGTGCTATTCGGGTAGGTCCTTAACTAGTACATAGATTTTCAACATGAGGCTCGCACACATCACCGCCACTAGGTGCAGTAGAGTTCCGTGGTTTATCACACACATTAAAAATGTAACTTTACTTTACATCCTACTGTCACATAATGAAAATGTAACAAAGCAACAAATTGTGTTTGAACGTTTTCATATTTCAGAATCACAGGTTATGGGAGGCTGATTTGGTGTCGTACATGGTCAAAGTTCTGAAAGTATGAACTTTTTTTTACCAATAACAGTTTATATATATATATATATATATATATATATATATATATATATATATATATATATATATATATATATATATATATATATATATATATATATATATATATATAGGCCTATATATATATATTCTATTTCGTTCAGAGTGGGGGGGGGGGGGGTGGCAGATGAATGGAAGAAACTCTGCCTGCTTTGCCGAGATAATTTAATGGTCTTAAAATACATGTTTAAAATGTTAACACTATTCTACCTGCATATAACATTGTTAGGTTTTCTGCCTGTTATATATGCCTAAAATTATATGGCCTACATGAACCTACACTAAAAGAGAGTGGCATATATACCTATACATACATATATATATATATATATATATATATATATATATATATATATATATATATATATATGTATTAGTAGTGTATGTGTATGAATCTAGTATGAGTTATTATAGACGACTTTATCCCAACTTTAGGAACACCCCAACATGCAGCTTGTGGACCTCGGCGCCAACGTGGGTGAGTACACACTAATGGCCGCGTCCCTGGGCAGGCACGTGGTGGCCGTGGACATCCTGGACAGCAACATCCAGCTGCTCCAGCACTCGCTCAAGCTCAGCAACTTGTCGCACCTGGTTACCGTCGTCAAGAACGCCATCTACAGGGACCGGAGCTTGAAGCTGGGCATCAGACCTGCCCCGTAAGCTCTATGACACTGTCAGCTTTCTGTGTTTCTTCCAGACTTTTTTCTCCGGGGGGGGGGGGGGGGCGATGGGGGGACTTGAAATTTTTGGGGTGGGGTGGGGGTGGGGCTTTGGACACTGTTAATAGTATATATTTGCTATATAAATTCCATTAAGTTCGGAATGGGGGTGGGGGGTGCGGTAGATGAGATGCCTGGAAGAAACTCTGCCTGCTTTGCCTAGACAATTTAATAGTTTTAAAATACATGTTTAAAATGTTAACGCTATTCTACCTGCATATAACATTGTTAGGTTTTCTTCCTGTTAATAGCACAATGATAAGGATTAAGTATTATTAAGAAATAATTTGACAAAATATAAAGAAAATAATATTTTTCCTATACGTTTTTCAAATGTTAAATATGAATACACTATAATAATATATAGATCTATATTTTAAGTTTATTTTTTATTTTATTTTTTTAAAAAAAAAATTGCATATTATTGATTGTGCAGTGTGTTTTCAAATTATTTCACTGAGGAATCACAAAGTACGGCCTAGGCTATCACTAAAACATACATTTAAAACAATTGTTTCGATTTATTTTTTTCACTCACAGAGGCAACATTGGGGGCACGTCTGTTGTGGAAAATCCCGTTGATGGCGACATTGTCCAGTCAATTTGCATGGACGACCTCATTCCTCTGGTCAAGTCTAAGTCTGTCTACGTCAAGATGGACATCGAAGCATCGGAGCACCACGCGCTGGCTTGTGGGAAGGAATTTTTTTCTTCCCTTGACGTGAAAGTCATACAGATGGAGTGGATGGGAAAAACGGAGCAAGCGGCCAAAGAAATTGGGGAGTTCGCTCGCAAGTTTGGCTACACGAGTTTTCGCTTGACCGCTGGGCAGCTCATGCCGAGAAATTTGGATATTTTGTATCAAGGTGATTTATTCTTTGTCAAATCTTGATTTTTGCAATAAAAATATAATATATATATTAACTCTTCTTTTTAAAGATCCGTGGAAACCGCATTAGAGGCAAGCGTGTTTTGGGGGTTTTATTGAAACGTCATCAACCGTTTATCATCTTTTCCTTTTTGTCACCATGACATATTGGGCCGTCACAGAAAGTTCCCTCCATTTTCATTCGTCACTGGCATTTTTTCTGGCAGTCCCCCATGACAGTCCTGCCTTTGCCATTTACTTCCCTGCTGGGCGCCTCCACGTCTCCCTTGGCCTTCCTTGCTTTCTTTTTTTTCTTTGAGGCGTCCCGGTTTGCGCCATTCCTACGATGTCATCTGGATTCTTTCTTAGGACGTACCTCTCCATCGCGATCTTTTTTTTCCAATTATTTCGGAGACTGCTTCTATTTTTACCTCTCCTAGTAATTTATCATTGGAGATGGTGTTAGGCTAGTGTAAGCCTTTTATCCTTTACCAGCATTAAGTTTGGAAATAGTCCAGTGATATTCTGGTGGCGGTTGTTACTTTCCAGCATTCACTGTCATACAGTAACCAAATCAAACGTTCGTAACTGTCGTTTTTGTATTGTTTTATGTATTAGAACTCTCTCTAATGTAAAATTAACACATGTATTGAGCTCTAGAAGGTATACACTTCCTTTACCCAAGAGATCTAAAATTTACTTCTTCTCGGCATCATTAAGGGACGTCATTCTTATTGATTACGCACCATTTTTAATCGCAACAACACACCGTAGGAGTATTAAGAGAGAAAGTGTGTGAGTTAAAGGAAGACAGACATTATCTATGTGCACTTGAATCTTCAAGTTAATCTTGTTAATCTAATGTGTGATTTTGTGAGATTACGCGATATGAACACGTTGTGTTTACGTGAGTACTGATTCCATCGACTGAGTAGCTGAAAGTGACGTGATGTACACATACAAGCATGTCATATTGCTATAGTGATTTATAAATAAATTGTGTATATATAATATTCATTGAGATTGTTTCTGTTCTTCCACATGCATGTATAATAATATATATATATATATATGTATATGTGTGTGTGTCGGCCTACATAAGCCTATAATTTAAATATATGCCACATACGCGACGCGTACATGTATGTGTATAAATTTTAATCACTGCATGCTTAATTAACGATGTTTATCTTTAGTCTGTTAATAATACTGTTAAAAGTAGCATTGTTTTCTCTATAGTTAGCACGTTTACGTCATGGTGTCATCCAAAACCCCTTGTAATAATAATTGTCTATTCGTACTTGAAAAACTATTTAACTTTAATTAATCATTGGAACTGGTAAAAAAGCATTTTTCTTCTGTACATTTTGCCTTTTTTTTGCCTCGGTGTCGCCCCCTTTAATGGTGTCACCCGGTGCGGTCTGCACCCGCCCTCGCTACGCCTCTGGTTTTAGCCGTATCACACCAACGGCTTTAGAGTTTCTTTCAGTGATCTCTTTGTTGCCCACACAATGAAGGAGTTGATTCTCGATTGATTTGATTATTAAAGTGAAATTAAACATTTCAGTTCAGTAAGAGCGCACTCAGATCTGATGGGTACCTGACTCAAGTTGGGGAAAATATAGTCGGCGAGGCAAAGTGCTGACCACACCGTCCCCTTCATATGGACAAGTCAAGAAACATGAACTTTACTTACATCCGACCTTGGGATCTTTAGGTCGAAAAGAAATCTATAGCTTTTCTAAAGTATGCACTCTACTGCTAAACCTCACTGTCCAGCATTAAGATCGAACTGCTATACATTCCACCACTGCACCCAAACCTGTTTGTTATTTAACCACATGTGTACGGTAAAGAAAGAATACCAGGCAATATTTGATTTCACATCAACATTTATAATTTGCGTGTAACATAAAACAGCATGCTGTAATGACTTAAGTTATAGTTAACTTATCACAACATTATGTCTACATCTTTCAGTAGCATCACTCATAAAAATATACACAGGTTTTTTGTTGGAAATATATCAGTCATGCATGACCCAAACTTCACACAACAAGTCTTTGTTGGTAACACACCATTCATCTATAACCTAATTACAAACTAGGTTTTTTTGTTTGGAGCACACGTTTTGCACTGCCCAAATAACACACAAGGTTTTGCTGATACAAGGGATAGCACAATTATACTGACCAAAATTACACACAGGATTTTAATAGTAACACATCAGACATTCATTAGCCACAGAGGATCAAACCCTCATCATACAAACTGATCTACTGAGGTAAAACCAATTACCTTAAACCATGAAACAAATATATCATCACATCACTTTGAATTACAATCCCATGATTCTTATTTTATTTTTACCTTAACTTGAAGTTAACATTTTCTTTAAACAACAAAGAAAAATTGTTAACATTCTATTTTTAGAAGACATCAAATACGACCCTGAGTAGAATAAAGTAAAAAGAACACAGAGCAACATTGAATAAAACGTTTTACAGAGATCGCTGTAGGTTGTGTTAACATAATGTTTTCAGAATGAGCTGCGTGTTAACAAAATATTTACTGCATATATGAGGCAGCAGAGTTGACCTGAGAATACAAGGGGAGCTAAATCAGTATATGTATCCTACATACAGGAGCTTAAACAGTATATGTATCCTAAATACAGGAGCTAAACATTCTGTGTGTACAAGCGCTAAGATATTGACTAGGTAGGTGGGAGTGTTAGATTCTGTTTTAATTTAAAACTTACAGCATTACCGATCACAAAAGTACACTTTTTATATAGTAAAAAAAGATGACTGTTTAACCTAAATTTGACACAGCACTATCAAGGTGAAGGTTACTACCTTCAGGGCCTTGACCACTGCCCAGCTTACTTGCCATGACGCCTATGTCATACCCTGGTATAGCAGTAAAGCCTGGGGCAGGAGAACACACGGGTACACTGTTAGAAAAGCCTAGGCCGGGGTACAGGACGGGGGAGTTGAGTAGAGACAGGTAGGTCTGGAGATCACTGGCGGAGACCCCCAGCAAGGCAGCGTGTTCCTGAGTCAAAGAGATACTTGGCACGTCAAGGATTGCCTTCCCTGAAACTTGACTGCCAACATTGTTCATTCCTGGCTCAACATTTTCTTTCCTGTTTCTCTTCGGGAACTTCAATGGTGGAGCTTTGGTGAAGGTTTTGGTGAAAGACTGTGGCTTGGCTTGGGGTAAATGCCCAACTTTTGTTTCAACCAGGACCTGATTGTTGTCTACAGGCGAGGTAACTGTGTCCACCACAGAAGGTGAGTTATGAGTGAATTCTGTGACTGATGACTTGGTGGTTTTCTTTGGGAATTTTAAGGGCGGAGCTTTAGTAAATAGTTTAATGTTTCTAGTTGTCTCCCTTGGTTTGCTTGTGGTTTCCTTCTCCGTGGTGACATTTGTTTCTGAAGTACTATGTGTGAAGTTGTGGGTCTCTGGTGCGACTGCACCACATGGCAGCATAGTGTATTGCTCTGAAGCACATGGGGTTATTGTGGGTGGCACTGAAGCACACTGAGCCATTGTGGGTAACCCTGAAGCACACTGAGCCGTTGTGGGTAGCCCTGAAGCACACTGAGCCATTGTAGGTGGTATTGATGGTTTTAAAGCACCAGGGGCCACAAGGTGTTGTCCATATGGCACTGATGTAATAGGGGTCATTGTGGTTGGCATGGATGGTTCTGCAACACAAGGGGTCAAGGTGGGTTGCACAGAAGCACAAGAAATCACAGCACACTTCCCTGAAACCATTTCACCTCCAATCACAGTTAACCCAATGTTTCCTGTGGTTTGTTTCAGATGACGGCCTTCATCATTTCTACTGCCCTTAGCGCCAACATCTGCGGCACCAACAACTTTGTTTGGCTTCAGACATTTCTCCTCCCTCCTGGCCCCTTCCCAGACAATCTTCTCCACACCACACCCCACAATGCTCTTCTTATCACAAACCTTCCCTCCCTCCTCCTCCTGTGGTTTCACCCCAACATCCCCTCCACCTTTCCCTTCCATCTCCAACCTTTTCTTCTCTTTAAACATCTCCAGAATGGTTTTCCCCGGCACCTGACCGGCGGACTGCGCCCCGCGGTTCTTCTGCTCCAGCTCCTTCTGCATTCTCCTCTCTTCTTCCTGAACCATTTGCTCTCCAGCCACCCTCTCCTCCAGCTTGGCTTGCAGCTGCTTCATCTCCTCAGCTCTCAGCTCATCAAACTCACGACGCTGCTTCTTGCCCAGCAGAGACCTCTCACTTGCATAAAGATCTACTTCATCTTCCCAAGTTTCCTCTACATTCACATTCTTATACCCTACATAGCAACCATCTATATCACAATCTGTGTTATCACTTTTTTCATTATGCTTCAATTCATCATCATCATGAAGTCCGTAACGAATAACTGCTTTATATGTATCCATATTCTCAATGAACTCTGACCCGAAATTCGCATGCCGCCAGCGATTAACTATTCTTAGATTTTCTAAATCAGATTTTTCATCTTCTAGCTCGCCTTCAGGGGTGGGGTTATCCGAGCCACCCTGAACACTACCCTGGGGGATGCTGACAGAGGGGACACTACCCTCAGCGTGCTGGGCAGCGGTTCTCTCCCTTCTCTCACCATGGCGATGTGCCTGTTGCCTCGGGTGGTGGCCGCTGTAATCATAGTGGTGCTGACCATCATGCCTGTAGTGTGTCCTGCCTGCTGCACCTCCGGAATCTTTACCCCGCTTGTCCTTACCGTGATAGCCGGGTCCTCTAGCACTGTCCACTCTCTGTCCAGTTCTGGAGTAACCGGCACCATCTCTCCTCTTATCCTCTCTCTCAGCCTGCCTCAAACCATTGGCCTCAAGTAAAGAACCCCCACCAGTCTGGTTCAGCCTCTCTACACCATCAGTCTCCTTACACACTCCATCATCAACAACATCTCTCCTTACCTCCTTCTCACTGTCATTCTTACTTTCATTTCCTGGAGGTAACCTATCAACATTTTTCTTCTCATCACTAGTATTATTACCTCTATTATCTTTTCTCTGACCAACACCATCTCTATAACCACTTCCATATCTGCTGTCTCTATAGTATTCATTTCTTCCATCTCCATGGTAACCGCTCCTATGTGTACTATCTCTATAGTAACCAGCCCCCTGCTTTGTGCTGTTTCTATGATAACTACCTCCTTGACTAGCATTGTCTCTGTGGTAACTGTTCCTGCTATCTCTATGGTAACTATCTCCCTGCTTTATGCCATCTCTATGGTAACTGCTTCTAGTCCTATCTACAGAGTCATGTGATTTTACATCCTTGTTTGGTCTATCTTCCCCATCCTCTTCTGTTTTTTGCTCAGTCTCTGAGCAAGCCAAGCTTACTGTGTCTTTTTTCCCATTATCCGCCACCCTCTCCATCCTTTTTGGTTCCACACTGCCACCCACATTGTCTGTAGCGTGTACTATCTTCTCAACTTTCTCCACTGATTTCACCTCCTCGCTTCCTTGCTTTTGGGCCGTATCATTTCTAGCCTCAGAGCCTTGGGCATTTTTGTCTTGAGCACTTTTGTCATGAGCACTTTTGTCATGAACACTTTTGTCATGAACACTTTTGTCATAGCTTGATGGATGGGCTTGGTGCTCTAATTTGCCAGCTCCCACGTGCTTTTTCCGATCATGAGGGTCATGTCTTGTCAAGTGGCCATGACTTTTACCATGGCCATGACCTCTACCGTAGTGGTGACCTCTATCGTAGTGGTGACCTCTGAACTTGTCACTCTTCTTGCCTTGGTGATGCTCATCTTTCTTTGGTGACCCTTTCTCTTTTTGATTGTCCTTGACCTCTGCTAAACACAGTGAGGTTGAAACTGGGATTGGAACACGGAAATCCTGAAGAAGAAAGAAAAAAGCATTAAAATTCACGTGTGTGTGAAAACTATCAAGTTCATGCTATCATAATTAAGTACCTAAACTATTACTATTTTCCACTCTCTCGTGTACGGTCATTACTGGCTCAAGGTTTCTGTTCATTAGCCAGACTGGAAATGTCAAGAACTGAGCAATGCTCAAACCAATGTTTCCACCAGGCTTTTGCTTCCTACCCCATTGCAATCACCTGGTTTGGAGAGGCATTTCAGTCAGAGCAAGACCTACAGTCTTGATGCCAGTTTTTGAACTGCTGCCTCTCAGGTTAGCAAGTGTGCTGTCAACCACTAGACCACTCCACCACTACTATTTACCATTTAAAGGTCACAGATGAGGTCATAATGACATAACCCTGGGGTTCTGTCTCTGTCATAAAACGAAGTATTAAAATTACAGAGGACACAAAAAGTAGTACTTACAGCATTCACCAAATACTTGTTTTTCTCTTGTTCCAGATCTATTATCCCACCTCTGGCTTTCTGTCGCTCATACATCTCTGCCATTCTCAACTGCTGCGCCCTGAGTTCAGGAGGAAGGACAAATTCTTCTGGGTTTTCTTCTTTCTTCACATTATCCCATTTTATGGACAAAGACTCTTCATCTAATGGCGTCCTGCACATGGGACAAATTACTGTCTTATCCTGAAAAGTGGCACAGAGAGAATTGATTCATTTATAACCCAAAACTATCTCAATACAGGTTGATAGAATTTAGATAAAAAATAAAATCTTTATTCTAAAATCAACAATTACTGCCAAAATGAATTCAAATAGCAAAATATCTCTGTACAAGAAGAAAAATATGTATATGGACTAAATTTGCATCTGTGGGGTAAGGTGTTAGATAAGATGGACATGTGTAATAAACAAGGTGCTAAACAGTCTATAGTGCATGTAATGTTAAATTAGGTTAATTGGTAGAAAGAAAACAAATAAAGTGAATGTGAAAGTGACTGGTAAAAAGAGGTGAGACAAAAATAAAAACAATGACAGGCTTTTGAATTTTTTTTAACAAGATTTTTTTTTAAATATTATAAAAAAAAAATTTCTTTTTAATGTTCATCGGGTGGAGTGCTTTTATGTAAACTACACAAATTTGAAAAAAATAAAAATGTAAACACAAAGATAATTTATTTCTGCAACATGCATTGAAAATAATCATTTAAATTTTGCATCGTGAAAATAAACAACGAATCAAAATAAATACCTCTGAAGTTGTTTCCAAATGTCTCCTCTCAAGCCCTTGGTTCTTCTCCTCCTGCAGTTGAGCTTGACTGTGCTGCAGATATTCATACAGGCACGCGCTGTGGAAGTAATGGTAGCAGGATGTACGGTGGAAACTGTCTTGCTCTCGGAAGTGTTCAAGACAGACAACACACGGACAGCGAGGGATGTTGCCATCAGTCAAACTGTCTTTTGCCATCTGTTGAAATCAGAAACAAAAATCAGATCAGGGCTTCAAGACAGTTATAATAAATTTATCATTGTATGTGTGGTAGCAGTTAACTCCTTGCTTGTAATATACAGCTATATGTAACTAAAATATTGGACCTTATCAGAGGATGCAGATAGTGTGCATGTACACAATGATTACCTGATTGGTTAACCTCAGCACTTACCTGCCATCTATGCATGGACAGATCTGAGCATGTGCACTTAGACATACAGATATATAGACCAGACATACAGATATATAGACCAGACATACAGATATATAGACCAGACATACAGATATATAGACCAGACATACAGATATATAGACCAGACATACAGATATATAGACCAGACATACAGATATATAGACCAGACATACAGATATATTGACCAGACAGAGACGCCATTAGGGCTTAGCATGTAGTAGAGATAAGCTGCTGACTGAAGTCATAAGCAACTCAGAAAGACAACCATTTTATAGAATTTATTGATAATTTAGGAAGACAGTTCAACCCAACATATTATAAGAGACACAGTGCACAAATTTGTTACCTCAATTAGGGTGAACAGTATCACTTCACCTTTGAGCTCATCAGCTTTAGACACCATGGCCTCCTTCAAGCTGTGAAAGATTGAAACAGGAAGCTGTATGTAAACAGTGAACACAGATTTAACTAGATCATGTAGTAGCAGTGAAAGGATACCTGATGACTGCCCTTAGCAATTAAATAATAAATTTGCATTATGTCCCTTGTTGCCAATAGTAACTTTAATTAAGTAACTTAATAGGAAACTGAATTCTATCATGCAAGGTTTAACTTTAACAGAGAGGCATTCTAAAAATTCACCCAACTGTCAGGGATTACACAGTTCAAACATCAAACCATATACACATCTGTTAGTACCTTGCTATCTCTTCTTCACCCAGACCACGGGGATTTCGAATTTCAATTTCTGGTGGCTCTTCAGGGTACTGAAATTAGAATAAGAGCTATATATGAGCATTTAATGTTTTATTAGAATGATGATGTTAATATGGAATCCAGTTTTATCAAATACAACACAGACATTTATAAGCAAATTAATACAAAGCTAAGATGTTCTAATGGAGAATGCAAATACCAGTGGTACAGTGATACAATATTGTTAGTTTTTTTGTCATATTAAACTGGTTATGAATTATTTTTAGAAAGAAATAGAAGATTCTAGTGCATCACCTTTGAGCCTGGTATGAATACAAGAGTCATGCAAACAAACTGTTTCTTTGTGTCATCCCCTGTAGCTGGGTGTAGCAAAATTTCAACTGTATCCACTGACCCACTAAAAACACAGAAGAATATAGCAGTTCAAATTAAAATTTATTTTACTTAAACATGAAGGTAAATTAGTTAAAAATGAAAAGATTGTAAACTTTTTATGTTTCAATAACCTAATGGATAAATTCAGAAAATGTTGGAAAAAAAATTGAACAACTTACTCATTATTTCTGGTGCATTTTAGCTCATTTATATAAATAGCTTCTAATGTTTCAATCTCCATTTCAAGTGAACTGCAATTTGAAATTTTAAAATAAAAACTAAATGATTAGACCTAGTTCTATACAATAAAATTTAATAATTAGTACACCTGGGAAAAAACTCACTCTTAAAATTAAGGTAGATCTATTCTAATGTAAATGTCTATCACTAGATCTATGTCATGTGTCAAATAGTGACAATAATAAAATTCCTCTTTACTTTTTGACCTAGCGATCCTTGGCCAGATGAAGTTAATATATTCCTTGATCTCAGTGCATAAAGAGATAGTGTGGTCAGAACTATGGCTAGCCATCTTTACTTTCCCCAATGTAAGTCAGGCACCCATCAGAGCTCAGTGGACTCAGGAAAGTCCTACAGTCACAAGTCCAAACCAAGATCCGAACTTGAGACCTTCAGGCTAGCAGCAAAAGGCTACTATTCGACCACACCGTCCCCATTGTTCAATAGCAAATAGTGAAATAAGTAATGAATCAATGATTAGGGTCTAGTCCTTAGGCTCTTATTATTAATATTAATAATAAATTAGGCCGCATTTGCGAGGCTAGCGACACGTTACGCTAAATCTTTACCTTAGGTTACATGCTATCTAAAAACAATAGATATCAGGACTGCCCAATATTTTTCGTCTTAGCAATTTAATGTTGGCATATATCTAAATCTAGATCTAGTTTAAGTGTTTTATTTCAACACCTAAGAATCTAGATTCTAGTACTTGCAAAAAGGCAGTAGAGTGTTAGTAGTAGATGATTGTCCTAGATCTAACTAAATCAAACTGCTCTTTAGTAAGTTGTTTTTACAGCTATCTAGCATGCGTCATAGTAGATCTAAATCTTTATTAGTAAGCCTTTTAGAACTTTTAAAAATGACCAGACTGTTTTTCAATTTGCTTGAAAGTGGGAGGGGGGGGGGGAAGAAGTATAGGCACCAACGATCTCGTGAACTTGTGTTCATTCGATGACATGTGCTATAGGCCTGCTGAACTCACAGTAACCCCTCCGACAGTGGTGGGATTTTCACCCGCGGGATAGTAAACCAAGCAATCATGCAAGCGACGATGTTTGGAAATTTTATTTACAATTAAAAAATCACACGTCATGTTTTTAGTATAAAAAAAAATTTGTAAAAATAGACACTAATACAGGTTGTTCTAGCCCCGGGTTCGAACTCGGAGCTTCAGGACTATGAACTACAGCTGCCACACTGTTGACTAGACCACACTCAATGTGTTAGAAAAGGAAAAAGTAAGCATTCACAATCACAACATACAATGACTCTAGAGTCTAGATCTAGAATAGATCTAGGTAAAACCTTAGTTTAGCGTCGGTTATTATTCCGGAATCGTATAGCAGTAAAAAACAGTAAAACAATGCCAAAGTCTGTCACACACTTCCGGAATTCACCGGAAGTACTGTAAACCATACTTTATTTGGCGTCATCTTTTATTTTTACACAGAATGTTTAAAATTTGGATAGATTTATTTTTGTAATCATTTTAACATTTTGTAATCATTTTTACTATTTTCGTAATCTAGATTTTTTTACTTGGCCTAGCAGCTAGATATCTAGCTAGATCTAGATCTAATTAATTAATGGTCGCAAATCCGCTGCAAGCAAAAAACATTAAAATATTACTATATTAGGCCTACATTTGATTTCATTATTTATAGGCCCTAGGCTATTTATATTAATATATTTATTTTTAGATCTACTAATTTAAATCTACTATTATATTTATTCTTGTTTCCTTTTGTCGATTAAACTTAAAAAATTAAAACATTAATTTACTACAATCGACTTTCAATTTATTTATATTTCAATGGTCAAATAAACCATTGTTTACCGTAACTCTAGTTACCGAAACTCAACAAACATTACCCGATAATTTCCGACGCTAAACTAAGGTAGATCTAGATCTATCTTCAAATCTTGACTTGAGGCTTGAAGTCAATAATCTTGGACTTGGTCCATTGACCGGTCCGGTGTACCGAGTACCGGGTGTAGTCACCACTGAGAGTTGTGGTGCTTAGGGCCTAACTAATGGAAAAAAAATAACTATGTAGTCATATTTTCCCCATAATCTCACATATTTACTCACTTCTCGGCGAAATCGTCAGTCATTTTGATATCAATGGTGAAGTTACGTATTAAAAATCTAAATCTGATTGAAATAGGCCAAGGAAAGATTACACAACCAAAATATTGCTGTCAATGCATAGCCAGATTTTGCATGGAAATGCTGCTTTTATAAATAGTGACTAGAATCTAGATCTAGATCTAGATCTAGTCTATCTAGCTCTGTGTCGTAATGACATTTATTATAATAGACAAAACTTTATTTTAAAATATTTATTATTAATTTTGTCAGTGTTTTATCAAAAGGAGAAATATTTCTAAAGTTTTATTAAAACCACAATCACTTCAAAGTTACTATAAAGGATTTTCCCTTGTGCTTGTATTTTAATTTGAAAGGATAGACTTGCTAAGTATAGATCTAGACTCTAGATCTAAATAACTTGGCTAAACTTATGTGTTAATCTATTTTGTTTTTTACATTTCAGATTTATTGTCATTTAGATCTATAGGACAGGAATAATTTTTAACTCTGGCTTTTTTTCTTGGAAATTGTAAAAGCCCTAAACCTAGAACTGATAAACTAAAAATTCGGAAATGACGTCATCAAAAACAGTGCCCAATTTTTCTCATGTTTCCATCCTTATGTGTTTACACAAAATGGCTGATGATTTGGAGAGACGACCTAAACAGCGAAAGACATACGCGTCTAGCACAAATTCTTCATTGTAAGAAATCAAGGGGCTTAGATCTAGCTTGTCAATGCGCATATCTCATCAATCTTTAATTAGGTGCACAGACTAGCTACAGAGCATATACTTAATTTCTGGATTGTAGATGAACATTCTCTGCAGTGTCACTCGCTTGAGTCAAATCATCAAATCAACACTGCATACTGCAGTTTGCACTGATTGAATCAGACAGGATACTACTAGAGATCTATGAGGATATGATAGGATTGCAAACATACTAGATCTATTTATTTTTTGGCTGTTGAATGAACATATTGTCTAACAACTTACATAAGTAGGGTCCTAATTATTACTAATTAATTTAAAAAATGCACTGCAGTCACTTAACTTAATCTGTAATCTACTCCATCTAGAATCCAGATTTTTTGACAATTTTTTTTTATCAGTTATCTCAGCTGAGGTAGATCTAGATATCTAGATCTATATTTTTAAAAATCTTCTAGGATCAAGATTCTAAAATCGGTAGGCCTAACTGCTAAGGCCCTACTTTCTTCTTAATAAGGATCACTAAACCTTGGAGTAATTTTAATTAATGTGAGATCTCATTCATTGTTAATATCAATAATAAGTTATGTTTGATAAATTAGGAAATAGTGCAGTTTGGTGGTAGAGCACATTACTGATAACCTAAGATTCTCAGCAGGATCAGATCCCAGACTTAAAATTATCAGTCTCCAAAGCTCTTTTGGATGCATGACTCATACTAATGTTAGGGAAAAAGTTAACTAGTAAAGTTGGCCAGACATAGAACTGACTACATTATCCATTCATGTGTAATGGTAATGGAAACTGGTGAACTAAACCTCACATGCGCTGAGATAAAAAAAAAGATATTTTAAGTTACAATATCTAATTTTAAAATTCCTTCACTATGTTCCTCACCTTAGCTTCAGCAAAAAAGTTAGGACAGCGAAGTAGGGATATCACCAAAAAATGATATATCCATGGTAGGAAACAGAAAATTACTCTTGAATAATACAAATCTAAAGTAAATGCTCAGCTTAAATAAAATAAAACATTCATAACATCTTAAAACTGTATAATAGAGGTGTTTTTTTTTTCCAGAACTTTGCATGCATAGTATTTGTTTAAGAACAGTTACGTATTTCAGCTTAGTTTGGGATTTAAAATTGAAGTGTTTTGGTTTTAATAGAAGGAATGACTTTCTTTTTTTCTACTATATGCCTATTAGCAAAATTTGAATGATCTATGGTATGAAAAATAATGTTAATAAAAAGAAGATATTACAGCGTATGTAAAGCTACTGTTTTAAAAATCATTTAAAAAATTGATAAATTAAAGCAAAATTAAAAAGTATAAACATGTAACTCTTTCTGATTAAATGAAAATCATTGTCCAATAGAAACCATCTGTTTAATGAAAATCATTGTCCAATAGAAAACATTGACTTCAACCATATATTAGGGTTTTGATAAAATTGTGAAATGGATATTACATCTAGCTTAAAGCTACAGAAGTATTTGATTAAATCAATTACCTTTAATAGAACTTTTAAAATGTATAGATTGAATTTATTTGTTACAAAATTGAGAAATGATATGTTACAATTTTGTTTGGATTATTTCCCTTGAAATTTATATCGTTGGTTTTCTTTCTTTACCCATCTCAAATTAAGTTGGATGGGTCAGTGACTCCCAGAAGAACCTAAACCAAAACCTGACGTTCAACAAGGACTTCAGAGTTAGCTAAACATTTTAAGATTCCTGATCCTCCCTCCCTCCAGCATCAATGAGCCGCAATTCCTCTCAGCTCCATACGTCAGACTCAGCTGTGCTCGGAGCCTTTGGGTTAGAATTTTTTTTTTATTTTAGTACAAAACTAAACTTTTTAAAACACAGAAATCAGTATAATTTAAATTTATGCAATTTTGTCTAGTAATTTTTTGTTGGTGTGGAATTCTGTTTTAATTTTCTTTCTATTCCTAAAGTACTTTTAATTCCTTTGTTAAATGTAATTCTTCACCTTTGTAGAAAAGTATATATTTTTAAAAACTTTTTCCAAAAAATATTTTTTTTTCGTATACAGAGTTTTGCGTCAAGAAGATGGTAAAACGGTTAAGAAAAAAGGGCGACCTCCAAAAGATCATAATTTATTGAATGCAGGAAGTATAGGATCTAGTCATACAGTTTCAGGTAACAGTTCTTCAAAAACTGTTGCTTTTATCCTTAAACAGAATGACCCTAAGGATTCTACAAAAGGTCTTCATCAAAGTCAAAAGAAGAAAAGTAAACAAGAACATGCATCACAATCTTCCAATGTAATGAATCAGTTTGTGAAGTCATCCAATAACAGTCCCTTGGGTCATGTTGGATCTCCTTCAATTGTTGTCTCCCCTGCCATGTCCCCCTCAAGCATCAGAGGTGTCTCCCCTTTGGGGAAGGAACACAATCACCCTGCTACCACCAAGAGCTCCTCTCTGAGCCGTGACCTCTCACCCTCGCGGATAACTGCCCAGATGGTGAAGGTCATGGCGGAGACAGCCCCGACAGCATCAACAACCCCAAACCTGCTGCGCTCAGCTCTACAAGGTAACATGCCAGACCCCATGGGGATATTAAGCTCTTCAAAAACAGAAGGGGGCCTGGTTTCCATAACAACCTCCACTGGTGGGTCTATCTCAACTTTTAACCCCAGTCGAAGATCCCCTGCCAATGTGAGTAACTTTAACCAGAGTTCAAACAGTGTATCTGGCTCTTCACACAAGTTTAGTAAAATACTGACCTCTATGGCCGGGGCAGGGGGCTACTTGGGCCAGCAAAGTCTAGACCCGGGTGAAGCCAAACTTAGCTGCTCGCCTATAAGTAATACTTTATCTAAAGTAGAAAACCTGTTGGCCTCGTCGGATGGGACTATACAGACTGTGAATGTAAATCATGTTCCAAAGCTGACAAACCCAGGAACGACCAACATGGGATCTGCATCTGGAACCAGCTCCCTGTCCTCGTCGCCTAGGCCCTCCCCCCGCAGTGCCATGGAAGTTGCCCAGCAGATTAAAATGGAGGCTAATGGTCAGAAGTCCAGCGCCCAGTTGGCAGCCCTGCGTCCAGGTATGCAGCAGCAGCTGAGGACCCAGATCCAGAGCTCTCGTAGTATAGATGCTCAACTTGCACCCAAGCAAGCTCAGCTGCCCATTCACAAACCATCTACAAAGGATGTTGAGCAAAAGGTAGGGTTGACTATATTTAATGGTTATTTACTTTATAAAAGCAAATGTGTTTTTTTTTTTTGTTTTAAAACATTACTGGTAATTATAGAAGGTATATGCATATTGAAACAGTTAGTTAAAGCTGTTTCAGTTTTTTAATATTTTTTTGCAGTGATGCTATATGCACATATCTTGTCTCCTTTATTGTAGTTTAATCATATAAAATACTATACTTTATTTTTAACCATTTTACTTAGCTTTGTTTATTAAGGAATATTTTTGCCCTCAGACTTCAATGGATGTGTCTATGCCATTATTGGCAGCAAAGCTTGCACCAGCTGTGGTACCATCAGTTGTCAAGGTAACACCATCTTCTGCTACACCATTCAATCAGCAGACGGCCGGCAACCTACTTACATCCCTCTCTGCTGCGGTCACATCGTCAGCCTCAACATCACCTGCGCCCTCGCTCTCCAGGAAACCTGCTCAATTTAGTACTTCCCCAAAATCTTCTTCCACTGAACTCAAACGTTATCAGCAACAAACTTCTAGCCAGAAGCTTGGATCACAGCATGCCAACACCAGCTTTGGCCAGAGCAATCAAGAGTCAACAACATCTTCTGACCACGCTTGGCTGCTCCACCAACAGCACCCACAGCTAGCAGATTCTCTTTCCTCTGGGTTAAGTCAGGGAATGGGGAATATGTTAACAGAGCTGGAGAAACAGCAGACGCTAGAGAGGCTTCTGCAGGCCAGTATCTGCGGTTCATTGAATGAAAGGACAGCCCAGACAGAGACTTCAGAAGCAGCTGAAGCTCATGCCCAGACACTAGTCAAGCACTTGACTTCCCCACATGCTCAGCAGAGACCCAATGCTGCTCCGCACACAACATCAAACCAAGGTAACGTTAACAAAATGGCTCAGGATATTATTAACCAAACGACTATGGGTGGAGGGTGTTTAAAATTTGTCCAGAACCACCATTCTAGTATCACGGCACCAACAACTCACCAGAATATATCCAAGTATAGACTTGGAGATTCTAAGCAAACAGCAATTGATGTAGACATGGATATAGGCCAGCTTGCTTCTATAACAAGCGATGCCTCCGCTCCCAAGGCAGAGGTGACAGTTAGTAGCGCTGGAGCAGATGTAAGACGCACCCACCACACAGCATTAAGCCAGCAGTTGTTCAACACATCAGCTTCTCCTACCACTTCAGCAAACTCGGCTAAATCTAAAGACTCGCCAGCATTTTTGCCAGTTAAATCCACTTCATCTTTTTCGTTTCATTCATCGCCCACCTCCTCCCTTGCACAGATCCCTAAACCGATTATGCATCCCACGTCGTCGCCATCTCTTTCATCCGCAAGAACAGCTCTTCCGCCCCCTCCTGACTACACCCCGCCTCCACCGTATCCGGTAAAGCTGGCCCAGCAGTTTCATCAAGGGGATCACCACCAACAGCCTGTTCCCAGCAAAACAGGCCAGGCAGCCAAGCATACAATTCAAAACCCTTTCACATTCCCAACTTCGGGAATAAAAGTAATCGCAGACCACAACGCGCAGGGTATACTTTCCTATAAGCTGGCGACAGACCATAAACATAGTGGCAGCAACACAGAGAATATACCAAGCAATACACAGGGGCTGTTGGGCAACTTTAGAGAACCAATGCCTTCTGTGGCTGGCAAGTCCCAAATGGATATCTCTAGTATCAAACCAAAGGCAGGGCCACCGCACCCAACAGATGGGTCCAAGTTGTGTTCAGATTCACTGGAAGCTAATACAAACTTTCAGAGCATCAACCATATAAATGAAGAGGAGAGAAAATCAAAGGTAGGTTTTTTCACATGTTTATGTATTTTGTTTTTTATAATGCATTTCCTGTTTCTTTTGACCATGTGAGAATGTTAAGGGGAGGGGCACACTTTTTTCTAGTATTTAAAATTCTTTTTGTCCATTTCTAAGTTTATTATTGAGCAACATATATGATGGGGAAATAAATTAAAGGAGAAAAATATGGAAAACAGCTAAAAATAGACACATTTTTGTCATTGAAATTGTTTAAACATTTATATAATAATTGATTTAATGCTTATAATTAGTATATTTTAATATTTAATCTTTCTTGCCTTAATTAAGAAATGTAAGACTATGTTGTATAAAATAATTATTTAGTCATTAAACATGAAAATTAAATAATTTCAAAATGTATGTTTCTCATTACAGAAGTAGTTAACAGTCCAAACAATTTAATCCAGTTATGTTAAAAAATCAGGATTTGAAAAATCCCTACTGTGTTCTATCATGAAACTCTCCATAACTTTATCTTTATTATATGCGACTGAAATAGTTTAATACTGTATACATTTGTGAACTATTTTGACTTAAAAAAGTTATTTTTGTTATTTATAACAGTAACTATTATTTAGTCAAGATTGAAATTTGAACTCACTAGACATGTAAGTTTATTCAGTGGAAGCTAGGTGTTTGTGTTAAAATTTTAAGACAAAAGTAATCTTGTTCCTTTATATTTACAACTATGCTGGACTTAATGGTTTCTGCAAGATAGACAATTCCAAAAATATTATTAAAATACTTCTAAATTGGGGTCAACCATTTATTACATCCTAAAAAATATTTTTAGACACACCCCCTCACATTCACTGTCCACTTAACTTTTTTTAACCACCCCTTCCCCCACGTGTGGACGTCATAAATAAATGAGCTTAACTTTGATTAAATCAGTGAAAATGTTTTCTTTTTTTATTGTCATATATGTTTGAGTTACTTGAATAACCAGTAACAATCTGTTTCTTGCTAGCTGCAACCATTTAACCAAAGAATTTCCAACCTGTCATGTTTTCCTGTGATGAACTCCAGCTACAGAGCAGCCTATAGGTCCCATGTTATGGCTGTACAGAGAGCTAGGTAAAACAATTTTTCTCATCTACTTTACTCAGTGGTGTAGGCAGGGACCACAAAAATGACAATGGTCGCATGTTAAGAAAAAATTTACCCCCCCCCCCCTCCAGTATCAATTTTCTGGTTAAATTTACACCATCTGTTCTATAGACTGTCTACCCTTAAGAATTCTCTAAATAGCTATGTATTACCTTTTTTTTGTTAAACTAATTTAGTTGTGAGGTATGTATAAAATAAAATAAAATATTTTATTTTCTGTGTACCCTTACTACTAAAATAGTTATTTTTAGATGCTTGTTAAGTTATAAATAATTTCCTCTTACTAAAGCTGCTTTGTACATACATGTATTTAAGACTGGTGACATACCTAGTATATCCAAACTTCCTTTTTAGTATTCCAGCTTTTTTACTCAGGTACTCATTTTTTGGCCCTAAGTTTATCCATCTATACGTTGTGTTAGTAATTTCTAATTATTTTACTTTGTCCTGATGTTTATCAATCAGTACAATATCTTGGTATGAAATTTTTTCTTCTCAGGTCTGGAGTGACAACAAGCACAACAAAATCTCTCGACATACTCAGACAAAACTTGCAGCACAGCATTAACAAGGAGTTGACTGAAATCATTAAAAAATATGCTGATGTAAAGTCTTTTTCTTTCGAAAAGTTATTTTTTCTCCTTGTTTTAGTTATCATATTTTTTTCTTAATATAATTTATTCTTTTTATTTGCAACTTTGATAATACTATATTTAGGATTATTTTTAAAAAAATCATTTCTTGTATCTAATAGTGCATGTAAATACAATCTTAATATTTGACAGAAGTACTTTCAACCGGCTTTAGACAATATAAAACAAAACAATAATGAGCCCTTCCTTGGAGATGAGCATATCAATTATGTGTGTAGGCAGATACTAGAAGAGGTAAGAAAATTAATTAATTTTAAAGTTAGACCAACTTTTAAAATTAAAATTTCATTATTTATAAATTACCTCCCTTAGTTTTACTTTTTTTTTCAAGTTTACAATGTTATTTGAAAAAAAAAGTTTACCTCTATTTTGTTTTTGTTGACAAATATAACTTTGTTCCTTAATAGGCAAAATCTGAATTTATAAGTGATACAGAGCGGCGTAGTGTGACACCTTCTGATATACCTGATAATGTTTCTGAATCTGGTAGTCTTGGTGGTCGAAAGATGGTAGGTTACATTTTTATTTTCTTTCTTAAACAACCTATTTGTTATTAAAATATCTGTATCTATAATATTTTAGTTATTTAACTGTTGTAATATTTTTAGTTCTACAAACTTTGCTTTCTTCCAGCATAATTTTATCAAACGAAGTCGCATATCAGACAGTGACTCAGAAAAGGGAAGTGATCCAGGTGGCTTTAAAAGAAAAATTGCAAAAGTAAGGTGCTTATATTAGCTAAATTAATAGACATAGATAATAAATAGCTTACACTTTTTTATCTTTAAGATGAGCATAATAAAATAGTGCTCTGATTAATTACAACATAGTAAGAGAAAGTGTGTTAAAATATTACTTTAAACTAAATACTATGTAAATGAGAAAATTATTATTATACAAGAAGGGATTTTATTTATATGATCCTTAAATATTTATAATATTATTAAACTACTAACACAGGTAGTATTTTGTTAAAGAAGCTCTATCTTTATTGGTATATATTAATAAACTTAAATACATTTTTACTACATGTTTTATAGTAAAAACTAAATTTTGTTTCTATTTTTGTGTCTTATTTTTTGCAGAAGAAAGGCAAGCCAATATATCATGGTGGATCTGGGTATGTTAACAGCTGGTTTTTTTTTAATTAAAATAAATAGATTGCTACTAGAGGTAATATTTTCACTTATATTGCACTATTTAAGTTGAATATTTTTTGTCATTTTACCAGGAGAGTGACACCTTCAAAACCATATAAAACAGGGGAAACTGTTAAACGAGAGGGGCCCAAGGTATGTTTATCAGAGTTATTTAAATTCTTCAGGTCATACATTAATTTTAATATTTTGAATACATTTTTGCTGTTTTTATTTCAATCCATAAGTCTACACATAATTGTTTTTCAATAAAATTAATCCAATATCGCTGTTTTTATAACCAATATTTTTCAAATCCTTATTTAATTTGATTACATTGTAATACATTATTGCAATTTTTAATTATATTTATTGTAAATCATGAAATATTTTAGTTATATTATATTTATAATGCATTATTGTTATGTTTTTAAAAAATGTATTTCGATTTATAAGTCTATTGTTCTTGTTTTTTTAATATATTCAAATACAATATTAGTATACTAATGTTTCAGTGGGATCCAGAAAGAATGAAACCAGACACACTTTTTGTGATGGGGGCTAGAGCTAACAAGTTAGTATACTTCACCTACCTTATCATTAACATTCACTATTGTTGTGTGTTCGTTTCAACATTCATAGTTATTTTATTACTCTATACTGGCTAATCATGACAGAATGTATTATCCTGAACAAAGGCTAAAGATCATAATAAGAATGTTTTTAGCTGTGCACCATGCTTTATTTTAAAAATGAAAATCTCGATTTTATAATACAAACTATCACTAATAAACACTAATACCCTAATTATGGGACGAAGTGGTGGACCATTCGATTGCTAGCCCTAAGGCCTCAAGTTCGGATCTTGGTCCGGAATTGTGACTCTAGGTCATCCCTGAGTCCACTCAGCTCTGATGTGTACCTGACTCGCATTAGGGAAAGTAAAGATGGCATAGTGCTGACCTCACTATACCTTCATTTGCTGTGGTCAAGAAACACAAACTCTACTTCATCTACTTTATGGATTTACTATAGACTTAATTAATTAATTTGTTTTCAATTAGGGCACTTGGGTTAGGTAACACAAGAGGAAGATTGTATATTCGACATCCAGACATATTTAAGGTATTTATGCTGTTTCCTTATCTGTGTACAATAATTTTATGCTCCATTGATTACTTGTTCTTATATTTTATTTAAAATGATTTAAAATGATTTTCATTGCAATACAAAGCAATGAGGCAGCTTATAATAAGTACAATTACTACCCAGAACTTTGTGTTTTAATTTATTAAATAACTGTTGATACAAAAAAAGCACAGTCTGAATAAAACATTGTGAAAATATTTATAATCCATATTTAGTTCACAGAATTTCTGCACAAAATAGTGGTTTTACTTTATTAAATAGTTTTGTTGCTACCAATTATAAATTTAGAAATAAATCTTCATTTAACTATTTATTTTCCATAATTAGTACATGTTTAGGTATAATAAAATGTTCATGCGTATTAAAATGTACTTTACTACTTGGGCAATATTTCATGACCCATAAAAGGAACACTCTAAAGTCTATGTTATTGTATGTCAGTATATAGGTCACATAAAAGAAAACACAAAACTTTGTTATTGCTTTTGCAATATTTGATGACCTGTAAAAGAAAACACTTAACTTTATGTTATTGCTTGTGCAATATTTGATGACCTGTAAAAGAAAACACACTTTATGTTATTACTTGTGCAATATTTGATGACCTGTAAAAACCCCCACTAAACTTTATGTTATTACTTGTGCTGTATATTGGTCACATGTAAAAGAAAACACACTAAACTTTATGTTATTACTTGTGCAATATTTGATGACCTGTAAAAGAATACACTAAACTTTCATGTTATTACTTGTGCTATATTTGATGACCTGTAAAAAAACACACTAAACTTTATGTTATTACTTGTGGGATATATTGGTCACATATAAAAGAAAACACACTGAACTTTATTTTTTATTATTACTTGTGCAATATTTGGTGACCTGTAAAAGAAACACACTAAAGTTTATGTTATTACGTGTGCAATACTTGATGACCTGTAAAAAAAACACACTAAACTTTCATGTTATTACTTGTGCAGTATATTGGTGACCAAGAGGATAAGCTCTGGCTGTTTGAACACAATTTGATGCCAGCCACAGGAGGTAAAGCCTACATGTTACTGCTGGAAGACATTGAAGACTTGAGCAGATCAGATGAGTACAAGTAAGTTAGGTTCTTACTTTTGAAACAAACTGAAAATTTTGCTGGTTTAACCTGCAAATTTTGATGGTTTATTGAATTTTTAAAGAGATTTAGTTATTTTTAAAATCAGACCTTTCAAAAAAGTTTTGTTTTAATTTGTAATTTGTCAATTGGCCAATTAGATTTATAAATATGATTTTTTTTAATAGGTTGTCTGTATTTTTTGTTTGAAACTTATGGTAAATTTATTTTGATACAGATGGTTAAAGGAGTGGATTTGTTTTTGAATAAAAATGTTTTGCTATTTATTTTTAAAAGTTATTTGCTTGATGGAATAAAAGTTTTTATATAGTAAATGATTTAAATAGATTTGTTTAGTTTATTATTTTAATTGAAATTAACAGCTTCAATATGTTTTTGTGTTTGAGAAGGCTGTGGTTAAGATTTTTGCAAATGATTTAAATAAATTTATTTAATTAATATTGTTTTTGCTAATCTAAACTAAAATAAAAAATTGGAAATTGTTTTGTTAGAGACAGCCCTGGGCTGTTGATGCATGAGTGTGTTGGTTTCACTGCACCAGAATGGATGCTGGTGAAGATGAAGGAGCAGATGAATGCTCTACGATCAGATTCAAACAAAAGGAGTCTCTCACACTCTCCAGTCAGTGTATGTTAAAAAATTTTTTTTTTTTTAAAGCATTTATTTTTTCTTAAAATTTTAGTTTTTATGATGTATAAATGCTCCTAATCATTGTTTTTTTAACACATTCCTCCCACTTGTGATGTTGTTAAACCATTTTATTTATTTTTTTATGCTATAAAGACATTACTTGCTCTGGTGTGTGTGTGTGTGTGTGGTTTCTTAACATGCATCAATTGCAATAGGGCTTGTAAGTCTACGGTCTCGAAATCTACTAGCTGGCAAGTACGAGAACAAGAAGTTGTGACCTACTTACCAGCCCTATTGTAACAAAATAAAAAGACATTAAATCCAACTGACAATATTTTTATTTAACCAGGAAATGGGTGAACCAAGGCCTAAAATTCTTCCATTCTCAGCCTTTTCTGATACTAATATTAAAGAGGAAACTATAGTATGTATAATGATTTATTTTTTAATTGCTAGATTTAATAGTACATTTATTTGTCATTGATCCACATTTTTCTTCTTCTAAAATGGTAAAATACTTGCTTGCTCCACCAAATGACAGTCTATGCATGTAGTTTTCATTTAACCATCATTGCACGAATTAAAGCTTTTTATTTCATCCATTTTGTGATCCCTATTTTGCCTTGTTTTCATCTGACAAACTGCAGGCGTTAATATCTGACAAGTGAAAACACTAAGTTTACATATACTTTTATTGCATAAATTAAAACTTTTGTTTCACATATATATTTTGTGATCCCAATTTTGTATATTTCTTACTTGATCATATACTTGCATTAATTAAGTTTTGTTTCAACTTTTTTGTGATCCTACTTTTGTATAGTTCCAACTTGATCATAAATTTACACAAATGAAAACTTTTGTCTCACATATTTTATGATCCCACTTTTGTATAGTTGTAACTTGATCATACATTTACACAAATGAAAACTTTTGTTTCACATATTTTGTGATCATATATTTACAGGTTTCGCCAGCTGACACAGAGGACATGGAGTTTTTATCTACAGCTGAGAACGAGGATAATCAGCGATCCTCTGGCATCTCACCTTTCACTGTTACTGCTGGCTTTGATGAAGGTGTTTCCCCATCACCTTCAGATCTGGACCCCATAGAAGACACTGCACCAGTTTCTAGCTTGTTCACATAGTATGTTAACATGTTAATTCCCTCCCTTTAATTAAGCTACACCATTGTTTTGCAAGCTTTATGTTGCATATATTATGCATATTCCTAGATTGTTATTCAAATCATAATTCATACTGATTAATTTGTTTCATGTTTTATTCAGCTTCATCTTTTTTATAACTGCTACAGTCTGATAAGGATTTTAACATAAGATTGTTTTTGTGATGTCATTGACTTATGCTCAAAAATTAAAATCTTAATAATTAATTAAAACAGTGTGTGCTATGTGCATAATAGCTCTTGCATTGTTAAGTAACACGCACACAAATCATAATACAAAGAATAATTATGCCATTATATTAAGAAACATTAATAGCCACAAATTAGCAAAATTTAATATATTTTACATGTGACTTATTTTCATGAAATTATTTTATTATTTTTTAATGTATTTTTTTTTATAATGGATTTAGTCCCTTAGTTGTTCCTGTTTAGACTAAAAAGTATATTTTTTTTTAGTTTATGGACAACTGTACATTTCTTTAGTGTAACGGTATACCTGTGTGGCTTTGTTCCAATATTTCTTTAACAAAATGATCTCAGCCTTCAACATTTTGAACAAATGAATGCAGCTTGTCCAACAGCGCACCTTCTGTGATGTATATAGATCTTTCACTGTCCTGTAACTCCTGTATGTTGAACCATTCAACATGGTTGGTATGGTAACAGTAATTATAGGCTTTTAAGGACTTTTTGTTTTGTTTCTGTAAGTAAAGTCAAGTTTTATGTTTGAGACAGTAAAAATTAACTTTAGTGTTGAATTTTCTACAAGTTTGATTGTCCATTGTTGACATTGATTTGTTGATTGTATGATAGCTTGCCAACTTATGCCTGTTGTTATCTTGTTCTATCATTGCTTAATATGTTTGAAGATGTTTATTTCAGACAATGATTTTTTTTAAAAAGATATTTTTGTAAATTTTTCTTCTGTAAATTACTAATTTACATTTTTTAGAATGAAATAAATAAAGATTTAAAATTTGGTCCAATAGAGAGACTCCAAGAAACACAAGCCATTTTTTACATCAAAATTAAAAACAAAAGGAGCTGCAAAATACTTTGCCAGAACGAAATATTTAAAAACCTTATCAATCAAATTAAAAAATGTAATTGCTCTCATTTCATATAATTTATCATCCATACATTAGATTATAAATGGTTTTAAAGATTTTATTGCTGCTTATAGTTTTTAAAATACATTCAGTCTCTTATTAATGGTTAACAAAAAAACTATTAATAACCACATAATCTTTTTATCGGTATCCAAAGAGTGAATTTCTATTGTCCTTACCATTGCATGTTTTTTCCTCATGCATTATTGCCTTGCATAGATTAATTTAATCACATTAACTTAAATAGAAACTAAAAATTGACTGTGTAAAATATGTAAAAATAAATTTACTGTATAATTACACTTTGTGTACAGGCAGGAGAAACCACATGACAATATGTTTTATAGAACTTTGGTTGAAATATTCTTAGTGAAATAACTCCATCCATCATTGTTAACTCCCTTCATCCACATTTTACTGTATTTTATTGGATCATTTGGGGTGAGAAAAAAAATCTTTTTATACCATATATATATATATTACCTTTTTTTTACACTTGTGATCCCTGATGTTTTTTTTTAAATGTATGTACAAGTTTAGCTGAATGAAGGCATCGGTTCATGTTATGTAAATAAGTGATGCTGAAGTCAGTTGTACTCAAATACATAATTGGCGTAAATGAATGCCTTTGTTTTATTCCAGTAGTACTCAAAGAGTACTTAATTAAGCAACTTGTTTTTATAGCATACAATATATTTTGTAGCATCTTCTTGGTTTATTTTTAGCTCACTTGTTTTTTTTTATGTTTTACAGTTTAAAAAAAATATTTTTTTATCATAATACGATTAACTTATTTTATTTTTACATTTTGTTGTCATAATTTAATTTAAACTGTGCCATTATCAGCTAATTAAGTTTTATTTAAAATGAAAACTGTTTTAAATCAAATTGAATTAAATTTTTATATCAGCCTTTTAGCGTATTTTAAGTGATAGTCAAATAAAGAAGGCACCTTTTTAATATATTTATTTCAATAGACCCTTAGATAATAAACCTAAAAATATAGATGTTTCTGATATTGATATCGGATATGCTAATAGAGAGAAAGAAATGGGAAGTAAAATCATTTAATTAATTCAGTTAAGCTTTTAAATATTAGGTGCATGGTAGATCAGAATTCCATTTGCTGAATCTGCTGTCCACTCCTCAAGAAAAAGTTAGCCTTACAGTTTATATGCTGGTTAATCAAGTCTCAGTCTACTGCGCTTTACAAAGTTTTGTTCCAATAGAGATACTCAATATAAATAAATTTAGATAGCTAACAAGAAAATTATTGAAAAAAATATTTCCAGAAAATTATTCTGAAGTGAAAGCCGTTTTTATACGTGAACTGCCATGTTAAGCTGATGTTTTATATTATATGAAGTGAACAGATGCAGTTCTTATTTAAATCTTATTTGCCACTGCAGTGAAAGAATGAAAACATTTTGTTTAGAAGGCAGAGAAATAGTTTCACTAACAAAATATTTATATAATAGTTTATTGCATTTTGTTAGTGAATTCACGAAGTCGTTTGAGATATTTTTGCTTATGAGTAGTGAAACAGTGTAGGACATTTTTCTTAATAATATATTGTAACGGTTTTAAAAAAAAGATTCAGAACTAATTAGGACAATTCAGCTTAATTATAATCTTGTGTTGCATTTTATTTAACACGTGTTGTGAGAATTGATTGTCTACTTCTATCCCCTGTTAGCTTTTATGTATGGGGAAACAACTTTCAATAAAACTACTCTTTTGTGATGTAACTGTACTTAAATGATTCCAATTTCTTCAGATGCAAATTTCATTAATAGCTGCTGTGGAAGAAACAAACTTAATAATGTACCAATGAGAAGCCAGTGCACACTTAACCACAGCAGACTTAAACTTTATTTCTCTTCATTTATTTTATTTAAATAAATTACACATTTGTAATTTTTTGAAAATTTAAATTCACTATTCAAGATTATATGAAATTCTTCATCATTTTAAGTAACAATTCAAATTGTTCCTGAGATATAATTATCTATATGTGAAGCTTTATGTCATAAGTAAATTGTATCACATCATCAATTTATAATGTTTATTTTCTTATTTTAAATGTACATATAGGGCAAATCTTATCCGAATAAAATACTAGTTACATGTATCCTAATTACATTTAATTTGAAAATTGCATAATCTAATGAAACTATGACATAACATTTAAACTTGATGTGTGAAGTTTTTTTTTTAAATTGTGAAATAAATCGGAGTTGCTTTAACTGATATGTCAGTTAAGCATATGTTTGATACTGCGTTGCAATTATTACTAATTGTTATTCTGCATGGATAATGTTTAGACGTTTTATCTGTCTTGTTATAAAACTGTTGTCTGTATTCTCTGTATGTCTATCACTTTGGACTACTAGTAGTTATTCTACACAGTATACTCTTGACCTCAACTCACTGAACAAAACACATGCAAATTGGAAAAGAACATTTACTTTTATATTCAGACAATATTTTAAAAAAAATGATTTCATCACCACAAACAGAAGACTCAAATCATTTAATTTTCTAGATAACATTACATAATTAAACTTTTGGAGTTAAAATGTTAAATACTACTGTTAAATATGTATGGATTATGAGTACCCCGACCCCTCTGTCCCGATTAGTGTATGTAATTTCTGACTATGCCACGGAGCTAGACTTGTATCAAGTATTTTATAAAATGAATGTAGTATCTACGTGGCAGTAAAACAAAACGATGAGGGAAAGTTTTTTTTTTGTATTAGCTGCACCAGCCATATTGGAAGTGTTAAAGGTACTATAGATATTCCAATTGTAGCTATTTTAAAAAGCATGCAAAAAACACAGGTTATAGCTATTAACCAAAAGTAATAATAGTAATGAGAGGGTAGCATAAGAGTTAATACATAGTATTAATATACTTTAAATATAGGCATATGATATAAATATTGGTTTAAGTTTAGGCACTTCAGAAGGTAGCATAACATGTGAATATTACCTTAAATAAAAGTAGGCCTACATGAGAGGGTAGCATTAAATATTAATATTTTGGGTCAAGCTGTGTGCACAACTGCTAACTTGAAAAGATCACTCACTCTAGTGGGGGGAAATAAAGGTGGCTAGGCATAAAACTGACCAATTATTTGTCGTGTCACAGAAGCAGGCGAACTCTACTTTACCTGCTTTATATCGACCGTTAGGTCAGAGCAGAGTTTCTTCCAGGCATTCGGCCCCCCCCCCCCCCCCGAAATTTTTTTATCGCCCACCCGAACGAAATGAAATGTATATAATTTATATAGAAAATATATACTTTTAACAGTGTCCGCCCCCCGAAGAAAGTCTACCGCCCCCCCCCCCCCCGAAAATTTCAATTGCCCCCCCCCCCCCCCCCGGAGAAAAAAAGTCTGGAAGAAACACTGGGTCAGAGCAGTTACGCCGACTTTCCTTGTGGCATTTAATTTAGGCTAGATTTTAATCAACAGATGAGGAGATTTTTTGAAACAACTGCTTTAGATCAGTATTAGTGGGGGAGACTGTAAAGGGGTCGTCCATAAACGACGTCACCCCCGAAGGTGGGCCTGGGGGCTTCATAATTCGTGAAGGGGGGGGGGGTCAGACAGTTTGACGACTCACTTTTGCATAAAAAAACAGTAGTGTTTGAAACTAAATCTTAGCCGTTATTTAAAAGGCAGTTTTTTTTTTTAATTGTAATAGAAATTGATCAATAGAGCCTACTCAATGTTGGCCGAGCTTAGAACATATTTTTAGAAAGAAATGAATGTTCTTAAAAACAAAGACTGAATATAGGGTGTGTAGACTTAGCATGTAGTCATTTTAAGGATGTTGGGGGTCTGGCTTTTTGTGACGTTTGCGATTGGGGGGGGGGGGAATCTATAAACAAAAGCGTGACGTCTTTTATGGATGACCCTTAAGTCATCGGCGATAACAAGGCTATCCAGCATTATAGGCCTACCTAGCACCAAATATGTTACTTTATAAGCCATGTTAAACTAAACCAACCCTGACTTTCGATCGTTACTGTTTTGGAAGAGGGTGGTTACTCAAAATATGGTCCTAAAGAGCGCTGTCTATTAAGATTACTGCATAATGTTTGTTTTTTCCTGGTACAGAAATGCAGCAAGATACGCTGCTTAACTTCGCCTTAAAATGGCCAGTTGTGTGTTGACGTCGCATACTTGATCTAGGCCTACATTCCTTTTTGAGGAATGGAAGAACAACAAAATACGATTTTAGAAAAGAGACGAACGGTTAAATTTATTGAAGAAAAATTCACAAATTATAATTAGCATTAGGAGCGGCTACGCTGAACGAAATGAATGTCGAATATGAATGAGATTGACAAAAAATAAAAACGTAGCAAAGAACGATAACCCACTTTGTGCGACAAACAAAAGAGAACATCATACGTGTGTTCAGCACGCAGTTCTCCCCCCTCCACCGTATCACTTTGGTGTGTGCGAGTGCTTTTAACTCATAAACAGCGTGAAATAACAAAATTAAGTTGTAAATAAAGTCGTAAAAGAACTAAAATAATATTTTGAAGACATATTCAAACAAATTGTACCCTATTACACACCGACATTACATGTACATTTAATGTAGGGCATTGGGACTACAAAATACACAGCTGTTATCTAGAACACGACCTAATATGATGTCCCTCCCTTTTTTAAGTCATGGTTACATTTATAAGTTTTGCTGTTTAATTTAGTGAAACATGGATGTTACAGTGATAGACTGTATAATTTTGATTCGTAAATTATTATATTTATGAAAAAGTAAAATAAAAATACAACAACAAAGTCATAACAAAGTGGGCGAACTCTGACACACCACCTACACATCAAGATGTCTAGATATTTTTCATTAGCCTATGTAGGCCTTCACGATTTATGTTAAGTTTGTTTTCCGTGCCACTTAACTAGCATTGACAAGGCTTAACAACATACATTGTTTTTTCTAATTAGTTTTTTCATTAGATCTTAATAGTAAAAAGGTGTGTGTAAGTGAATTATTCTTCGCCTAGCACCAGGCCATTTTGAAAACTAATGTGTAGCCTATGGATTAGAAGTATGCAGGTTACACAGTGAACATTGCACTGAGTTGGTGCACTTAGTCGATGTTGGTATTCGAACTCGGTTCTTGATACGCAAGAGGATATCACACTCTCTACGTTGTATGGTGGGGTAAAATATTTTAACCAATGTAGTAGCTGGGACAACGGGCACAATAACCAAGTAAAAAATCAATAGGCCTAAACTTTTCTTCCACAGCGCATACACCCTTTCGTTTCGCCTCGCGTGCTAACCTCTCTCTTCTTCTCGCCTCGCGGCGTGTGTTGAACCCTGGAGAGATTTATGGCTTGTGATCACGGTACTGTTGAGGAGACACATCGCTGGGCTTGGCGAATATTTGTGTGAAGGGACAAAACTGCGGCTGAACACTGCAAAGTATTTTCATAAATTCACTGCCTTACAGCCACGTGACCTTAGTCGTAGCGAAGCGCAATGTCCACATGACTCATCCGGGCATCTGTGCCATAATCCAGCAAAAAATCTATTTATATCCGCTGTTAGATCTGTCGGCGTCTGGGGTTAGGCTTTTTTTTTCAAGGCACCACTGTACGTTGATTACGATTACAAAAGAAACTTTTCGCCATGCTGTCGCGGTCAGGAAGAGCCGAAACTCGCAGCCGGGCCAAAGAGGACATCAAAAGAGTGATAAATGCGATCGATCGAGTACGGAAATGGTAAGGTCATTTCATAGTTTCCTTTGTCTGTTCTTTCTGCCTGTTGTCATATTTCTTTGCGCCATTGGGGTTTACTCAAGCTAATTTCCATTGATTCCATTCATTTGTCCGTGTTTACAGCGCGGACAGGTGGATGCAGCGGGTTTATCACGTGCGTCTGTTTACATTTTGTTTTCAATACATTGATATATTGGCTCGCGGTGTAGACAGTAGTTTAAGGTTTAACAAAATTTATCAGAATCATCTCTATTTTTTAATGACAATCTCAATAATAATAGCATCCATAGGCCTATGACTAGATTCTATTAATTTTAAATATTTTATTTTTTATCAGACAATACTCAAGACTTGAGTACAAAAGTATTGTCTGATAAAAAATAAAATATTTAAAATTAATAGTCATAGGCCTGTGGATCCTATTATTGAGATTGTCATAAAAAAATAGATGATTCTAATCTGATAAGTTTTTTAGTAGGCCTAATATTAGGCATTATTATAAGCCTAAGCCTATTTTATTATTACCATTACAATTACAGTATTAATTTAGTATTAGATCTAGATTCTAGTACTCATCATAATGATCATAGAATGTCATAGATCTATTAGTTTTTACAGTTTTTAGTATTTTAGACTGTAGACTATTACTACTATTAGTATTAGCCACTATTAGGACTTATTAACTTTTTTAGGTTATTGGTTATTACTTGTTACTAATCTAATACCATAGAGGTGTTTAGACCTACATAGAGGGACATAGAATATATCTCTAGTTACAAGTAAAGTGTAACAAAGTTATTAACAATGTTTAGGCTAGAGTTTAGAGTATTATCATTAGGCCTATGACCAATGCATTAATTAATTAATTAATTAGTATGTTTAGCCTACTCTCTAGAGTAGGCCTACTACTATAAGCTTAATTTTATGTTTAGGCCTATAGTATACCTAATCCCAATCATATTACAACAAGACCTAGTCTAGCTAGATCTACTTCCCAAAAGTCAAACACATGATTTAATTTTATTACATATGCCTATGTATTAAATGTATATAATTATATCTAAATTGCATTAGGCCTATATTTGGAATGCATATATATATATAATAGTCCCTACTAAAATAATTATTCTAATTAAGTAGACTTAGATATGCCCCTTCATCAAAAGCATTTTAAGAACTTTTAATAATAATACTATTACTAATTCAGGAATGTTGTTTATTGGCCAGAAGTAAGATTTGTTTGTCTAGTAATTGTACTATTAGGCAATTAATCCTATCTGGCCAAAGTTATTCCCCCCCCCCCCCCATGTTTGTTTTAAATGCTTAAAAATTTCTATTTAGATCTATAATTTCGATGTTATTTAAATATACTGATATATTAATTATATATGATTTGGGTTGAGGTTTAGTTGCTGCATGTGAGAGTTAAGGGGTATGATTATTGGTGCACATCCATTTCTCTGTTTTCCTAAACTGTAAACTAACCCTACTGATAACCAGAACTGTTTAAAATTAAAGTAATGCTTATATTCTTTATAATACTATGTATCTCTATTTTTCTGCAGGGAAAAGAAATGGGTTACTATAGGAGACACATCTGTGACTGTTTTGAAGTGGGTTCCCATCACAGCACAAGAGAACCCAGGAGTGAGTAGGCTTGGCTAGAAGTCTTTAGATATTTAATAGCACTGTAAACGAAATGGTTTCAAATAGATCAAGTGAGAGTCTGACAATTATGCTTTATTTCAATTTTAAAATAGTCTTCTGATTTATGGACTATTAGATATGAATTTGACTGAATTGTGGTTTTCCCATCTTTTAGGCACTGAGGAAAATTCCTGGTGTAAAGACAAAAACATATTCAAAAGCAAGGGTTGAAAGAGAGCGAGAAATTTATACAGGTAAAATAAAGACTTGCTTCTTCAGTGAAAAATAAGTGAAATAAGCCATCTAAAATATCTAAGCACTAAGCAGTGATAATTTTCTTTATATATTGTGTTGTAAAATAAACTTTTCCACTTGACTGTAGAACAGATGAAATAGAGTACATCTCTTTTGTTTTAATTCTGCTCATTGTGTGGTTACCTAGCCCCATTTAATTTCCCTATCCTATCCTGATTCAGGTTCAGATCTAGGTAGAAACAAGTGCTTAAAAAATCTGGAAACTTCAGGCTTGGGTACTATTTGCTTAACTGTGGTCCAATGTTTTTTTATATGGAAAAGCTAGTTTTTTATTTAAGCAGTAAACTTTACAAAAAAAAATTCCCATTATTTAATTTCCCCAGCTGAGGCAGATGCTCACCTGCGCTCCATGTCCCCATCCAACAGTAACACCAACATTTCCACTGCTAGCAGCCCTTCATCCAAGAACCACCACCACAACAATCATCATGTATCAGGCCATAAAAGAAATCACAAAGGGGTTGTCACCAACAGTCAAGGTATGTTTTTTTGTTAGCAGATTGACAGATTAGCTTTTCTTATTTAAGATGTTTTGTAGACTTTACCAATAATTGCTTATTACAGTATTAAGTCATTGATTAAAATTTATAATTAACCAACTATTTGAGTTTTGCCTGTCAGTATTTTATTCCTTGATTTATTTCTTAATGTATTGTATTTTTAATTGTATAGTTACTTAGTCTTGATACTGTTTTGACTAGTTTCTTGTAGTTGTAGAGACCTCTGGATGTATATTTACTTTGTACTCATAACCTTGTTTGTTTTTCAGGCAACGTTGTCTACACAGAGGAGTCAACACAACAGTCTATAGGCTCATTTGGCTCTGAGAATTTGAATGATGATTCTAACATGTCCTTCCCAGAAAATAGTGAACACAGTGAGCATAATGACAATACTGAGTATTCTCATGACAGCAATGATGCTGATCCACAGATGAGAGTTGGTAAGTGTGTGGCCAAATTCACGAAAACTTTATTTAAACAAAAAGTAGTAATCTATGGCATGTCTTAATAACTATTTAGTGGAAGTTTTATTGTATTTTAATAGTAGAGCAAAATTTAAATGATTGTAACGATTATCTCCCCTTTATAACCTGTAGTTTAGTATGAGTTGGTTACCTTTAAGATTTTCCTTTATGTTTGAGGTGTAAAAAAATCATTAATGTTAAGTAGACCGTAAAACTCAATTGCATTAGCTACACTTATCATATCACATTTGCTTGATGGAAGCTTCCTAAATTTTTTCACAGCTCTTAGTATGGTTCGAGAAGAGGAGGAAGCTGCTCGAGCTAAAAAATGTGCTAAAGCTGAAGACAATAGTGGTAAGACTTTATGTATGATTTTTTTCCCATTGTTTGGTTAACAATACAATTCAGAGATGTTAAAAAAGTTTTAGGTGGTAACTTACACCTGAGCAATTTAAAAACATTTTCACGCATTTAAACCAACAGTTGCAACTGGGGATGAGCCTTTCATGCACATATAAGACTTTCTAAACAATTATATCCTCCCTCCCAATTTTCTCATACTGTTTTCTTGTGGAAGCACATCTTTCTTTTGTCGCCCATTTGAGATACATCTGATTCATCTACGATTTCTTATTTTAGATTCCACAAGCCCACCGGAACTAGAGAGGGAATCTTCATCAGATGAGCCTCTCTCCAAAAAGCCCAAATCTTCATAATTTTATTTAATAGTTTCATTCCTGTTTAAACTCTATCAAGACATTTCACAAGTTGATTTTTTAATTGTATTAGTTATCAAATTGTTTTCCTGCTATTTTGTTGGTTTGATTTTTATAACAATTTAAATTACTTAAATTATAGTGGTGATATTAAATGTTATCAATATTTAATTATTTGGATGATAATACTCAACATAGTTCATAATAATTACAAATAATTGCAAATGCTAGTTCTGCTATGTTAAAAAGCTTAATTAAACGAGATCTTTAGTTAATTAAAGTTCGCTTACATATTTTTATCACTTTTGGAAAGTACTATTACTTTCATACTATATTATCAATAAACTGCTTTTGTGAGCAAATTATTTTAATGATAGATATGTATCTCTTAAAATGTTTTTTTTTACCATGGCTAAGATGAGCCATCACTGTGCATATTATATATGCCTGGTTGTGTTAATTTGTGCATACTGTACAGAGGAGAGAAAAATAGTTTAAAACATTTTTTTATTTGTTATGGAAATTTATACATTGTGTTTTCAGTATGTTAGGTTTTTAGTTAGTGTCACAAAAATTGTTTTCAAGCAATATGCTAGTTGCGTTAAAAGTTTTACAATACAAATGTGCATCAACTGTTTTCTGACATCTCTTAAAATACATGTTTGTAGCTTCCTGTACTGATGTATATTTTATTATTTCCTTGAAAAATTCACATTTTACCCTGTGTGAAATCCTCAATGAAGAAGCTTTTTGAAAAACTGGTGTTGTACATTGTGTATCTTGCGTTATCCAGTGTACAGTCATATGCCTCTGATTTGATTTTAAATATTTTTGTGGCTTAAGGTAGTATTCCATTACAAAAATAACATTTTGGTCTTTTTATGAGATTGATTTCTGTTCATTTTTCTTTATAGTAATACTAAAAGAAAAACAGGTCTCCTGTTTTGTTACAGTCAAATAGGGTTGATCTGTAAAGGGTTCAGTATCCAGTGTAACCTAATGTCCAATACCAAACTTATTGACCCCTTACTGTTTGTGTTGTGCTTACTGAATAGGGCAGCTGCACTTTCCTTTGTAATGGATTACAGTGCAGCGCTATTGGGAGCCTCATGAAGTCAGTCAATGCATCACTATTCTTAAGGCAAATTTTTACCCCATTAGCAGTGCAGCAGTATTTTTTATAAAAAGATGACAAGCTTGTCTCTATCTTGGACCAAATGGCGTGTGGTTTGTTGCATTTATTTTTTTTTTTTTTTTTAAATGTATGAAAATAAGAGAGCAAGCTAGACACATTGTCATCCTTATGTGCCTATGTTAGCTGTGATGTAGTGCAGATCAGTTTATGATGTGTACAAGTAGGTGGGAACATTACATCCATTTGAATGTTATTGCTTGATGAATAAAAGATTTGTTAAGTAATATTTTGTTTATATTATTTTTGTACATTGTTGGTAACCAGATTAAATTACTAGCAGAAACTAATATCTGATCTCCATATCATTAATTATCAGTGGCAAGTTCAAGCATCTAAAGAGCCACATCTAATTTATCAATGCAAAATGATACCCCATTACTTTTCTAAAGCTTTGTGATCAGTGTTAAATACAGAGAAAACCTAGGAGCAAGGTGTGTACTTTTAAACATATCACTTCACTTGATTAGGGTAATGAAAATTAACCTCAATTAGTCACTGTCATGACTCATTAGCTGTCATACTTGAAAAAAAAATTTAAAACCACTTTCTGATTGGCTGTTGATTCTGACATTTGTGATATAAAAATAATGTAAACCTGTTTAATAACTTCACCAATAAATAATGTGATTGTGTTCAAACTATGAAGATTTAAGGACCTGCCTTGCAGTTGATATGAATCATTAAAATAAAAATTTGAATTCATCTAAACACTGTCAACATTTATTCATTACAGTTTATTGGTACTCCGCTTTCATATAACAAAAAAAGGGTCAGATAAATAACATTGCTTAACACACCAGACGGGAAAAAAGGTTTTGAAGGACAATGTTTTTCATACAGATATGTGAATTGGATGATTAGCTCCCCAAGAATTGACTGGGGTTATTTGTATCATCAGACTTGCTCTCTAAGGAAAAAGGCGGAATCTTGCAGTCAAAACTGGTTCCATCTCGACGCTCCATCTTGTAGGTACCCCTGGGGACAATAATATTTTACTGTATTAGGACTTGACCAGACATTCCTATGTCTCCGCATTTGTAAAAATGTTTAGGAAACTCAGTCATGTAATTTCTTAAGGCTTGCTTGTCACAGTTTGATCAGCAAAAACATAAAAAGTTGGAATTTTAAAAGTAAAATTGATTTAACAAAAAAATTATGGGGAAAATTTTTTTTTTTTCGCAGGCGGTCATTTGTTTTTTTGTTTACCTAATTCACAATTTCTTCTAAAACAATATTTATAAAATAAAGCATGAAGAGAGAAACAAATGTTCATGGTAGCATTTGTAATGTATGCTAATCTTAAACAAGAACAAAAGTAGTATGATAGATCAACCTAACAATCAGATTCTAAAGAGGCACCTCAATGATAGTGCTGTTTAGGGCATACTACTTAGTATGTCTAGTATGAAGCAAGTTAGAAAAACATGTAGCTAAAAATGCAATCTTAAAAATCTTTATAAATACAAGCTGGATAATGTTATTATCTATTTCAAAAATGCTTATAGAAGCTGTTCCCCAAAGTAGTTGCAAGGAGTAGGCATGCCAGCTTTAATTGTCATTCTCTTCAATTGTCTTAACAAACATACAATTATATTTACATTACAAACACAATGGTAATTTACAACTTTAACTAGGACAGTGGGTCTAAATTTTTATATTGACTGGATTCTACCTCAGCATAACAATTATAAATTAGATCCATACTGTTAACTGAGTTTCTACTTAAAATATTAAGTCTGAATTAAGTCACTTTTGTGAAAGCAAATGAAAAATTACTGGAGAATATAATTTCTGTCAAGTATTAATCTGTGATTAAAATGTTTTTAAAAATAATTATTAAAACGATTAAGGGAAAATGTACAAATATGAAATTTATAATAAAACAAAATGGATCTTACCACATATGTCCACTAGGTGCTTGGAGTGAAACATGGCTGCTATACTGGAACGCAGGTTGTTCCGGAGAAAGTATTGGCTCCTAAATATATGAAACAATTTTAATTTTTATGTCATACAAAATATAAAAAGTGTTATTTTAATATACTTCAATGAGTGTAAACTGCGTCAACGTCTTTAAACAACTATATTACCATGAGGTATAGTTTCACAATACCCAATTTTTTTTTTTGACAGTTAAACAGGCAAGTTGTACAATAATTGTGCTTAAAAAATTTACTCATGTAATTTAAGAACAATCACTCTAATCATGTCTGGACTGTGTCTGATAAATACTTTCCTAACAGGCGCTAAACCAAGTACTAAACATCACAAGGTTTAGGTAAATTAAAGCCAGTTAGTTGTCAAAAACAGGGCCAAATGTGTTTCCTCAATTAGTTAAACAGAATCTAGTGGCCTACAACTTAGCTGGTACTCATATGTATTCATGCTACCCAAAACAATTTTATTAGGATTTTAGTTTTAGCCTATTCTAAAATCTAAACCTAATAAACACAACAAGCTAATTAATTGAGGATTAAGGTCTTTAGATAAAACACTCTTTTACGTTTATTATGGATTTTATTTAATTTTTCTCATTTTTTATTTGAATGAATATATTTAGCTCTATTTTCTGTCAAACTTTGCATCAATTAAAATTATTCACATTTTTGCTCACAATTACACAGAAATATAAGTGTAAACATTTTGTAATTACCTGACCCACGACTCCCCTTCCCCTGACAGTCTCCAGTGTTCCAGACAAACTAAAAATCCTCCAGTGTCTCTCTCGAAGTTGAACAGTTTCTAATCCCCTATTTTCTAGACGAACACAATAACGCCACTAAAAATAAAGGAATTAAAAGTGTATTTTAACAAAAGCACAAAATTCAACTTGCACATAAGCTAAACACTGCAATGCTTTGCTCTGTGTATAAAAGTTTTAATTTTAATTATGATCAAACTTAAAGCAATAATTGTAAAACCATACAACATATAACAGCAAAAATCTCCAGATGAACAAATTTAGTGAACACCACTTATATTGCTTTATACATTCAATCTACACAATGTAAATTAAACAAAAATATCACAATATTATTTCTTTTCCCAATTTTTGTAACTTTACATTCAATTTAGTTAAATATAAAAGCCAAGGAACGGAATCTCCCTACTAATAAACATAAATAAATAAATGACATTATGCACAGCACTTACCCAGTATACATGAGTTTGTTGAGCTTCCTGGAAATAAATAGGTATAGATTTAATAGATATTCTAATTTGAACAAAGAACATTAAAGGTAAAGGAGCTATTTAAGTTATAGAGAAATTTAAGGTTAGGATTATTTTTTAATAAGGTCAACACAATAAATGCAAATTTAAGCGGTAATATTTGTGTAAATCAACTCATGACTATTAACTGTCATAGTCTTAATCTAATTCTACTAACACGACTATATTTACACTAGCATATAAAACAATACAAGATTATCATTCCTGCAAAAGCTAAGTAATTAAACAACTTTAACTACCCACTCTTCAACCAAAATAGGAGGGTGTCAAAGCAACATACAAAATACCCTGGAACCCATGTGACATTGACAGACCACTCACCTTACAGCCCATGTGACATTGACAGACCACTCACCTTACAGCCCATGTGACATTGACAGACCACTCACCTTACAGCCCATGTGACATTGACAGACCACTCACCTTACAGCCCATGTGACATTGACAGACCACTCACCTTACAGCCCATGTGACATTGACAGACCACTCACCTTACAGCCCATGTGACATTGACAGACCACTCACCTTACAGCCCATGTGACATTGACAGACCACTCACCCTACAGCCCATGTGACATTGGCACAGCACTCACCATTAAACCAAACTAGGAGGGTTTCAAAGCAACACACAAACTACTCATCCTACAGCCCACATAACCTTGACAGACCACTCACCCTACAGCCCACATAACCTTGACAGACCACTCACCCTACAGCCCACATAACCTTGACAGACCACTCATCCAACAGCCCACATAACCTTGACAGACCACTCACCCTACAGCCCACATAACCTTGACAGACCACTCACCCTACAGCCCACATAACCTTGACAGACCACTCATCCTACAGCCCACATAACCTTGACAGACCACTCATCCTACAGCCCACATAACCTTGACAGACCACTCATCCTACAGCCCACATAACCTTGACAGACCACTCATCCTACAGCCCACATAACCTTGACAGACCACTCATCCTACAGCCCACATAACCTTGACAGACCACTCACCCTACAGCCCACATAACCTTGACAGACCACTCATCCAACAGCCCACATAACCTTGACAGACCACTCACCCTACAGCCCACATAACCTTGACAGACCACTCACCCTACAGCCCACATAACCTTGACAGACCACTCATCCTACAGCCCACATAACCTTGACAGACCACTCATCCTACAGCCCACATAACCTTGACAGACCACTCATCCTACAGCCCACATAACCTTGACAGACCACTCATCCTACAGCCCACATAACCTTGACAGACCACTCATCCTACAGCCCACATAACCTTGACAGACCACTCATCCTACAGCCCACATAACCTTGACAGACCACTCATCCTACAGCCCACATAACCTTGACAGACCACTCACCCTACAGCCCATGTGACATTGACAGACCACTCACCCTACAGCCCATGTGACATTGACAGACCACTCACCCTACAGCCCATGTGACATTGACAGACCACTCACCCTACAGCCCATGTGACATTGACAGACCACTCACCCTACAGCCCATGTGACATTGACAGACCACTCACCCTACAGCCCATGTAGAAAGGTGTCACAGTGACACGAATCCCCTCTGTTGTCTCTCTGTGAACATCAGATAGCTGTAACCAAGGGTGATTTTTTTCTTGCCACGCCCCCAAAGTGTCCCGAGCTACAAATGGTGGATCTGGAATAAGAAGAACAAGTACCCTGAAGTTACTGCAGTAACTAGCTTGTCAAGTTTGACCACAGGTGTGTAGTGTACAGTTATACAAAAATACATGTACTAGGTGTAGTCTTAGAAGTACTAAATGTAATACCACTGGATGTATTAGAGTACATGTACATTTGCACTAGATGAATGGGTCAATGTGGTAATGTCTCGATTTTGAATCCAGATTTAAGTCAGTGGAACGTCCCTGAGTCCACCCATTGGCCGAGGTCAAGAAATATACGAGCTCTACTTGATCTGCCCAATGGATCACTAGGTTTAAAGAGGAATCTTTACTTTTTACTTTACTAGATGTACTTCCATATGTGTACTAGATGTACCACCACATGTGTACTAGATGTACATACAAAAAATGTATCAGATGGTACTTCAAGATGTGTACTAAATGCACAATCAATCACAAGTGTATGGCTGTATTGCTAAATGTGTACTAGATATACCTCCAAAAATGTATCAGATGGTACTTTAAACTGTTTACTAAATGTACTATCATGTTCCTCCACATATGTATCTCAACATGTATACTAGATATACTTCAACTCATGTATATCAACATATGTACTATATATACCTCCACATATGTAGCTCAACAAGTGTACAAAATGTACTTCCACAGGTATAATAGACGTACTTCCGCAGTATGAGTGTAGTACTTACTGTTTTCTGGTTCATGCATGAGAAACTTCTCAAAGAGTTCGTGTTGGATTGGGACTGGTTCAGGGCTGTTATACGGTAAAATGTCTTCATGTGCTACATAGTCAAGACCTGACAAAAGAAATGGTTAACATAATCAAAACTTCAGACTGCACCAAGACATAGAGGATGGCTGTGGATTTTTGTGAACATGCTAAAGAAAACTTACCTAGAATCACATGCATGACTCTAAGTTAATGCAGATAGCTGCAACTTGTAAAAATGCTAGAGAAAATTTACCAGGGATAGCATACAGCGCCCGACTGTTGTCTTGGTTACCAAGAAATGTAACAGCTTCTGTCTGAGCTCTCTAATAAAAAAAAACCATAGAAATCCTGTTAAATTATCTCTAGATGGATAGAATCAAAATATAATCAAAACAAAGGACAATACTATTATTTTAATAAAACTTCATTCTGGATAATGAAAAAATATTTTAAAGTTTGAGCTAGAATGGAGTTGCATAACTAAAATAATTACCAGAAAAAAAGCCTTCAGATAAGTTAAACAACAAAAGCGTAAATAATAAAAAAAACAAGAATTTAAGTGACTTACTATATGTGGGCAGTCTCTGGTGTCAATTAACACTTGGTAATATGTATGGTTTTTTCCCTTGACTTCTTTCCCCACTGCAGTGGTTTGATCATCAAAAGATCTAAATAAAAACATCAGATTTATTATAGAAATGACTTAGAACTAAAATAAATTTATTGATCATTCTTGTGAAAACAAATAAAGAGCTAGCATGTTAAAAAGCAAGTATGAACTGTGATGATGAGTAAAGACATATCAACCTAATGAGAGCCAAATGGTTGGAATGTTTGTTTACCTTTCTTCTGTCTTTGCTGCAGTATCACGATCATAAACATGAGCCAGCCAGGGGAACAAAATAATACCTCGATATCCAAATATTTTGTGTAGGAACAACTAGAAATCGTTATAAAAAGTATAAAGTATATTTTAACAAAAAAAAAACAAAAAACAAACAACAACAAACAGAAACTACATGGTACATGTTAATTCATAGCAGGACCAGTTTTTTAAAACTACTGAATATATGGTCCATAGTCTAACCGATCATTGGATGACTGTGCATTGGAAAACCAAGCCTGGGTGGTAAGATGGGAAGAGCCAGATGTTCCCATGTATCAGACCTTCTCTCTCCAAAGGGATGAGACTTTATCTGTACAATTTTGAATCAGTAGTGTCACAGAAGCTGCCAAAACCATGGTTCCACTGTTGTTTGATTTAGGAGTTTTCTCTACTAGATGGGTTGCTGTCACCAACTGACTACTAATGCTACCCTACACACTAATGGCAGTATTGCTCTAACCCTAGTCCTAACTTTACACAAGGGAACATAGTCCAGACCCTAGCAAATGTAATAACAGAAATAATAGCTTGATATAATAGTGTCCTGCTGAAGAATGTGTTAAAATAAACATACTTGTCCTGTGTCATAAGCTTTACCATGTTCTCTTGGTGGTTCAAGGATGCCAACTTCTGCAAGTCTGTCAAAAATTATATTTATATATTATATTGAAATTATTTAGGTTATATTACTTGGTTAATTTATACATTTTTAAAAAGTACATTTACAATTTATGATTGTAGAAGATAAAAATGCTTTGGACAGTTCTGTAGAATTATATATATACAACAACTATAAGCCTAAAAAATGACCGCCACCAAGAAAAAACTTGTTTCATTATCTACAGCGTGTAAAAATGAAGCCAAATTGAACTTATGTCATGGGTCAGGGCTTTGGTTTAAAATAAAGATGACTGTCCAATAATGTTAATTTTCATCACTTGCGATGTTAAATGCATTACAATCCATTATTAGCTTTCGGCTATAGCTTTAATCATGTAACTGTTTGTTGTTTCTACTTAGGTTCCAACACCTATTATCAATTATCGAGTTCAAGAATACAGGCAATAATAAATAGACTTAAGCCATTTGTCTGTCAGAGAAACTTGATTCTAGATTTAATATCTAGGCCTACTAAAATTAAATAAATAATTGAGTTTTAATGCATTATTAGCTTTCCGCTATAGCTTTAGTGATAAAACTGTTTATTGTTTTTTATTAGGTAACATTGGAATACGTTAAATAAGGATATAATTTAATTAAAACAAGATATTTCTTTATGATTGTGTAGAGTATGTTAAATAATACAAAATATTTTCACCAATCGATATTAGAGTTCCTAGCCAAGATGATAGCGTGTTAGCTAATCAATCAGGTGGCATGGGTATGGAACCTAAGCAGTCATTATAAATTTTTTTGTTTTAATGTTCCCACCCAAAAAGTTGTCAGAGGGAAATCTCAAAGGATGCAAAAATAGCTCTAAATTTTTGTTATTTTCTTTTTGTTGATTGGTTTAATAATTTATTTATTTTTCATATGAGGTTCGCGCTAGAAAGAAACAGACTCATAATTATTAGGACTCTGATTCAGATTAAGTAAATGACAGGTTTTGTTTTGAAACTTTTTACCAATCACATAAATACAACTGGGGTGTGCTGAAAGAATATCCACACCAAAGAATTTATTTCTCATTTTCTCAATTGAAAGTTTTAAAATAAACATGACATAGCCTAAATGATGCACATGGTTTTAAAAAATTTACATTTTATTAAAAACATTTAATAAAGGCAAAGTTTTGAATACAAATTACTACAAAGTAGGGTTTTCTAGATATACAACCAATTAAAGCTACTTAAGGGTCATCCATATATTACATCACATTTATTAGGGAGGTTCAGACTTTTGTATCTATGATTAAGGGCACTAATGGGAGGGGGTCCAGAAATGTGACATCATTTTTAAATTTGGGTAATCTATCATTTTAGGTATGTATAATCAGGAGTCAAAATTTGATAGAAGGCAGAGAATTAGATATGTGAAATTTCATTTATCTAGGTGAAACAGCACTCTAGTTATAGGATTTTCAAAACGAAAAGTAACATAAGTTCCACTTCCGGCTACCGGAAACAAATGATAAGTTGATACAGAACTACAAATATGATATAATACTTATAAATACAATTTCATCAACCTAGCGTTATTGGTACTCAAGTTATTGTGTTCACAGACATACACACACATGGACAAAATTGCAAAACTCAGTTTTTTCCGATTTGAGGGAGGTGTAAAACAAGAAGGTTTGTGAAAATATCGATTTCAATTTTTGCATGATTACAATACAACCTCCATACATCGTATTCGAGAAAGTAAAAAACCCAAACACAATGGGTGCTAAAGTAAATAATTACTAGATCTAAATAAGCTTGGTTACATCTGATGAAAACATCACTAATCTTTCTTTATTTATTCCTGAAAAGTTATAGGCTAATATATAGCCTTATAAACTTATTTAAAAACAGGTAGCCTACATGAATCAAACATTTTTGTAACTTTTAAAACATAAATCCTCCTAAATATGTGAAATAATAACTAAAATTTAATGAGTCACTTTCTTCACATTACTAACATTGGCTGATTTTAATATGATTTTATGTACATAAAATCAAAATGATCGATTATCATAATTTGTTAAGTAGTGCTACCTAATCTAAAATGTTTGAAAGTGAATTTTCTGTAGGCTTAATATTAAATAATATAGTAATAACTTGAAGTAATAGAAATTTGTACTAACTAAAGGAACGAGTAGTTATTTTAACAAGACGGTGTTTTTTTTAATCTAAAAAATGTAACGATTTTTTAAAAGTAACACTATCATCATTATAAAATACCTTGTAGACAAACAGCGAATACATGACTTTTGTATATAAACAGAAATTAATGGTTTTACTGCAAATTTTCTAAAGATATTTAAAGCCATTCTCGAAGGATTTCCAATATCACAGAAACATGAAGCGGAAATCAACAAATTGCAAATAACAAACGAGAGTTACTGCCCCGAAAAACACCAGAAGGTCATTTTAAAAACGGAGTATAGATTAGTTTCTGCTCTGGAAAATTTTCAGTAAACTTATAAAAAAATAACACTATTTCTATTTCCTCAATAAACAGCACATGCTATACTCTCAGTATTAAAGTTTAAAGTATTACATATATGGGAAAAAAACGATTGGGGGTCTAGACCTACATCGTTAATAAAAGTAGTAAAAGTTTTCCTCTTTAGACTAAAGGCGTTTTGGGGATCGGGGATGATGAAGGGTGGTTTCTGGGAAAAATGACAACTGTCTTACACTAAAATTCAGCATTTGGCGACGTTGCGTTCGTGTGGCTTTCAATTCTTGCAATTTAAAACAAATGTAGATCTAATTACTTAATACGGAAATTTTACGTTATTAAAATTATAATACGATAGCCTAGATTTCAATACCAGAATAAAATTCGCAAAAAACGTTTCAATAACAAGCTTTTATATAACTATGCACTAAAAATGAGAAAACAAACGATTTTCTTTAAATATATAGGCCTAATAATGAACCACTATTTAAATGACTAAAAAGAAAACCGTCGGTAGCGTCAAATGAACAATATGTGCGTATAATAGCGCACAAAATAGTTCCTTTTAAAGGAAACTTTACTTAATTCATAAAAAGTAATTAGGGCCTAAGCAAAAATTTACGTGACATTTTTAGATATTTGTTGTCAAATTGCAAATATCATATATATATATATATATATATATATATATATATATATATATATATATATATATATATATATATATATATATATATATATATATATATATATATGTATGTATGTATCCATGCCAATGATCTCAGGACAAATGATATCATAGAATTTATCTCAGGACAAATGATATTAGACAATTTATCTTAGGAAAAAACTATATCAGACAATATATCTCAGGACTAATAATCTCACGGGCAAAAAATATCAGTGGTGTTCTTCGCATCGCTATTTAATAACGAAGACATTTAAAAAGAAATTTGAGAAAATTAATGAAAAATCCAGAAAAGTAGGCCTACTTTTTAATTTTTTTTCAAATTTGAACAATGATAAGTGCTATATAATAGAACCCAAGTTTTCAAAAGCTACGAATCAACATATCCACAGGAATCATGTTTCCATAAATGACAAGCTTTCCCGAAGATCATTTTAAAATAATTTTTTTTAAGCTGTAATTTTGATATCTTAAAAAGTCTATGGCACTTTAAAGACGAAACGTACAATAACAAGTTCTTAGCCCACGTGGAAAGTAAATAAATGACCCTGCTCGAAAACTAGACACATTCCGTTAAGTAGTAAATTCAGATTGTATTAAGAAAAAGAACAACAACTCTCTCGTTTTATTTTAACTGATAAAATTACCAGGTTTTGCCCCTTGCGTAACTGTCGGAAAATTGACTCACTACTAGCTTTTATTTAAATTGTTACCTCGTTTTCAAACTGGCGAGCAAATACCAAAAAAAAAAAAAACAAACTCTAACCAACCTATTTCCTTTTAGCTATAAAATATAAAAGTAGTGGTTTAATATTATATATTGAAAGAAAATGCTTTACTTCATTCGTTTTAGTACATTAGTTGGCCCATATAATTATAAAAGCTGGCTATTTAAAGATAAAAAAAATGATTACTACTTTGCAAGTTGTTAAACAATGATTGCTTAAAAAAAACTTTTAAAAATTATAACTATTCCAGAATTATTTTAAATGCCATCCACCTACAAAGTTAATACAAACAGCCCACTATGTCTACTATATTAAGATTCTAATTGCGAATTTTGAAATTGTGTTATTTTATTTATCAATGGTACAGTAAGTAAGTCTGTATATTAAGTTCAGCCACACAAAAAAACTAATTTGATGACGCCATTTAAGTCCAATGAAAATGTTGTCTGCTTTTTAGAACGTGACGTAATACGCATGTTTTGAAAATGTATACAATGGTTGCCTTCCGCCACTAAACAAAGCCTACAAGTCAAGATGGCTTAAACCGAGACAATGGTACCGAGGCTGGTTTCTGGTACCAGCAGAACATTTTGCTGAGGAACAGCAGTTGGCCAGACGATGGTGCTGGCATATTTTGTCAAGATCTGCATAGGGAAAGACTAGACTAAAGTCAGTTATGTCGATGAGTGTTATTTATTTTGCTTTACAAAAACAATATTGGCAAGGAAATAAAGAGACTACCATAACACAATGATAATACTAATACTCTAATAGCTATAGTAAAATTACCACTGGTATAACCCCAAACATCCCCTCTAAAGTTTATACTTTATACTAGTCAAGTAAGTGAAGTTCTCTTTTCGAACCTGATGGTTCGAGGAATATTTATTTTAGTATGCAAAAACAATATTGGTTGGGAAGTAAGAAGGTTCTGTTTAAATCGTCCCTACCATAACTCTAGTAGCCCCAAAGCTAAAATTAGCACTAGTTATAACTCTAAATATCCCATCTAAAGGTAATAGTAAAGTACGTAAAGTAAGTTAAGTTCCCTTTTCGAACCTGACGGTCCATGGGGCAAGTGAAGTAGAGTCGACACTTTTCTGAGTTGGTACGCATCAGAGCTGGGGGAACTCAGGGACGTGCTACTAATTTGAACCGGGATTCGAACTCGAGATTTTCGTTTGCAGTTTAACATTCCTTAGTCCGTTTTAGGGATTCGATTTCAATGGTGAAATATGTTTTGGAATAGGACAAAAGATAACTGATTTATTATGGTCTTAATGTTTACTACCAAACTCTATACCATGCTTGCAAGGAGATAGCGTGGCCTAGCAGTAGAGCGCTGGACTGTTAACCAGAGTTTCTTCCAGGCATCTCTTCGAGGGGGCGAAGCCCCCCGAAAATTTTTTACCGCCCCCCCCCCCCCCCGAACGAAATGAAATTTATATAATTTATATAGAAAATATATACTTTTAACAGTGTCCGCCCCCCGAAGAAAGTTTACCGCCCCCCCCCCCCCGAAAATTTCAAGTGCCCCCCCCCCCCGGAGAAAAAAGTCTGGAAGAAACACTGCTGTTAACCCGAAGGACTCGAGTTCGAATAAAGTTCCTGAGTCCGCTTAGCCCTGACGTATACCTAACTTACGTTAGGGGAAGTAAAGAAGGCTGGGCATAGTGCTGACCACACTATCCCTACATAAGCCGAGGTCACAGAATCAGATGAACTCAACTTCACTGTCAGGGTTAAAAAGATTTTGAAACCATTGAATCATAATTTAATTACTTAAGTTAGATTTAAATTTTTTTTACCAGAAATGTATGTCCGTGTAGACAATTAGCTAGAACTAAATAAAATGCAGAGACCGATGTTCCTGAACACATGTTTATTGTTGTATCTAGCACCTCTTAGAGGTGCTAAGCGAATTATTTCGTTGTACAAGATCAGAGTCAGTGGCGTAGGCGTTGATGGGGAGGCATGGTGTTGAGGTTGGGGTGGCTATAACCCCCCCCCCTTCTCACCTCCATGGACCCCCCCCCCCCCTAAGTGAAAGTTTTCTCTTCATACACAAACACACTTACAAAAGCCTTTACAATCATCCCCACACAAAAGCCTATATAATCACACACACACGTATAAGCCTATATAATCACACACTTCAAACACTAAAGCCTGTATAATAACACACTTACTAACACACAAAAGCCTACAAAACTACAAACATACACACATCACACATAATCCCGTGTAATCACACACACACCTCCCATAAATCTGTATAATCCCACACATACCGCATACCACACACAACATATACAACACTATATAATCGCTCACACCACACATAACTTTCTATAATCACACACACTCCACACACAACCCTCTATAATCACACACTCACACCACACATAAACCTCTATAATCACACACACCACACATAGCCCTCTATAATCACACACACACACCTAACCCTGTATAATCACGTGACCTATGTGTTCCAGGAACTCCCCAAACGATGTCTGGAATCTGCGACCTGCTGACAGAGCTGTACCTCTTCTGCTATTCCATTGTGTTGCGTCACAAAGTGTTGGTCACCGTTCAGATTGTGTGAGTCTCACTATGTGTGGTCCTACTTAGTTTTTGCGTCATCCCCACTCTGTGTGTGTGTGTGGCGACACCATAGCGAATTATATTTTGTTTTACATGGGTTGGTTGCCAATTGTAGTGAAATAAAATGCAAGTGATTTAACGTATCTTCCTCTGGGAGCTGTTTATAAATATAATCTTTCTATACTCTATAGAAGCCATTTATTATCTGTTTTCTGCGTGGCAACTTTCTGTCTTTAAATAAAATCATCATTTTCTAATTACCAGCGTGCTGTCTATAAATCTCACCTTTCTATATTTACCAGTTTGCTGTCTATACATCTTATCTTTCTCTATTTACCAGAGTGCTGTCCAGTAGCGTAGCGAGGGGGGGGGGGGGCGGGCGGGGGGGGGGGGGACATATGTCTCATCTTTCTCTATTTACCAGCGTGCTATCTATAAATCTCATCTTCCCTATTTACCATCGTGCTGTCTATAAATCTCATCTTTCTCTATTTACCAGCGTGCTGTCTATAAATCTCATCTTTCAACAGCGTTCTATCTATAAATTTCATCTTTCTATATTTACTAGCTTGCTGTCTATAAATCTCATCTTTCTCTATTTACAAGCTTGCTGTCTATAAATCTCATCTTTCTCTATTTACCAGCGTGCTGTCTATAAATCTCATCTTTCAACAGCGTTCTATCTATAAATTTCATCTTTCTATATTTACTAGCTTGCTGTCTATAAATCTCACCTTTCCCTATTTACCAGCTTGCTGTCTATAAATCTCATCTTTCTCTATTTACCAGCGTGCTGTCTATAAATCTCATCATCCTCCTCTCGTGTAGACGATACAAAATGTGCTGTAAGGAAAAACAAAGAGCCAGTTACACGGCTATTCCAAACAATGAGGTAATTTGGGACATCAATTAGTTATATAAAAACCTTTTGCGCTTCTAATTAAATCTATACAAACTTACTAAACACTCTACAAACCTAATCAAACATATATAAACCTACTTAACCGTATACAAATATGCTCGAAGTTGTGCAAACCTATTTCACTCTATACAAGCCTACTCAAATTTATACAAATTTATTAAACGTTACACAAACCTACTCAGAGATCTAGAAACTTACCTAACGTTATACCCACTTAACGTTAATGGATCTACCCAAAGTAATTCAAACCTACTTAACATTATAGGCCCACGGCCTACGAACCTATTCTAAACTATAAAAACCCACTAAAGCGTAAACAAACCTACTCAAAGTTATACAAACCTACCTGTCGAGGTCACCGGAGCAGATAAACTCTACTTCATCTGCCACATGTGTTTTTGGGCACGAACGGGAAAGATGATAATGATTAAGATAACTACAACATTTTATTTTGAAGATAACAAAACAATTTAATCTTAAGGTAATCATTAACTTTATATCATTAATTTTCCAGAAGCTTCTCAGACGACTGAAGCGGAAAGCATCATTGACTAAGATAAGCAATGGTAAAAGAAATATACGCTATAAGTATACGACGGTTTAGTATTCTTTTAGTTTTTTTTTCTTCATTTTTTTAGTTGAGAAATTTTTAATTTTACTTACGACGTTTAGTATTCTTCGTTTAGATTTACCCCCCCCCCCCCATCTTTTTAGTTGTGGAATTTTAAATTTTACTTAAAGAAGCAAAGGATTAAATTTGTATTTAAGGAATGACGGGTCGATGTGGAACTTTTCCGATATGCGGTACCGTACGGCAGGCGGTTCATGCTTTTAGTGTCAGAGTGCAAAGCTTTAGCGTTGTATCTATGCTTTATCAGTGGCGTAGCCAGGATCGTCTCAAGGGGGGGGGTTGTTTCAATTTTTACCCGGGGACAAACTTTCGATTTGCACCCCCCCCCCTCAAACTTTCGATTTGCACCCCTCCACTCAAACTTTCGATTTGCACCCCCCTCAAACTTTCGATTTGCACCCCCCTCATACTTTATATATATATACCGAGGGGTCTATGGGGTTATGACCCCCCTAACCCCCCTGCCTACGCCACTGTGCTGTATGCTAAGCTAGAAAGTAATGTTTTAAAATTGTGAATTATAAATGTACTGGTATAATTAAAAGAATCAGGCGAGAGGTGTGGTAGCTTGTACAAGAGAAAGTCATATATATCTGATCGTTTCATAGGTGTTTAATATAGAATTCTTTTTTATTTTAATTGAGAAAAAAATACAACAACGACAACAACCTATAGGAAAGTTTCTAAGTTCAATTAGAAAACAAACAAAATATGATTAGCGCATGAAAATTTCGGAAACATGTAGGGGATGAGGGCATATGGTCTATATTTATCCAAATGACTAAATGTTGTTAGTCAATTAAAACTGATATTTATTTATCTTCTACTTGTAAATTGTCTGAATAACGGTGTTTAAAAAACATATGGCATTCTTTTTATTCATAGTTAAGAGAGTAATTGTGTCTTTACCGAAACATGAAATATGTAACGTTTTTCTAATTACCGACATCTTTTAGGCCCGCAGTCTTCCATAATGAAACAAGGCCGGAACAAAAACAATCGACAAAAAGGGTGCGTCACACTCGTCACTCCCTCACAGGAATTCGTCACCGCACCGGAAAACTTCCGCGCCCAGCGCAGCTGTTCGTCCAGCCTGGACACCACCAAAGACCCGGATGAGACGCTGGACGAGATCACGTGGGGTTTCGACACCTCCCCCTTGGCCTCCTTCCACCACATACCCGAGGCGGAGCTTCCGAAGCCGGCAGAAGAATCCAACAAGCCATCCCCGAAGAAAAAACCCACCAAAGCGCAGAGGATCCCGACTAAGGTACATCATCGCCCCGGGAAGAGACAGGCCCCGAAGGAAAACACCGCCACCCCACCTCGCGCTCAGATGAAAAGCTTCATCGCTGATGAAAAATGTCCTCGGCCGGCGCCGTTGAAAAAACAAATGTCGTTTCGCTTACGCTCCCCGTGTAGGGTCATGTCGCCCAAGAGAGGTTCCGTGCATCGCCAGTCGACATTCCTCTCTGGGGGTGCAAATTACCCTCCGACTAGCCCTAGAAAGTCCAGCAAGTGTAAGACTCCGCCTAGCAAGTACAGGACTCCGCCTAGCAAACGGGCGGCGGCGAGCGTCTCTAGGTGTAGCTCGATCAAAAAAGTGAGTAGGACGCCCATTCCATTTGTATGCATGCTACATTTTGTTTTAATAAAAAAAAACACACGTTAGACACAGGTAGACTACCCATTCCACTTGCATGCTAGATTTTGTTTTAATAAATAAACGCAAGATAGAAACACAAATTCCCATCCCACTTGCATGCATGCTAGATTTTGTTTTATTAAAAAAACGCAAGATAGAAACACAAATACCCATTCCACTTGCATGTATGCAAGAATTATTTTTTTGACAAAAAAATGTTTACTGGAAACACATACAAACTACATTAAAAACTACATTTTAAAAACTGTTTAAGTAACTAAATATTTGGTATAAGAGCACTTCAAATGTAAATATTATGTAATTTTGCGTACTTTGGAATAGATCGGCTACATTATCGTTGAATTTAGGGATTTGAAATACAAAGAAATTAAAGTATTGTTTTTATAAAATTGTTTAAAAAAAACTAAAACGCCATGAAAACTTTTTGAAATTAACATTTCAATTGAGAACGTGTCTTAACATTCGATCGTCTAGCGACGCACCAAAGAGCCAGAGAACACGAGCTCCGAGTCTGAGCACCAGTCGACCCGCCCCACCCTCTACAAGAGCACGGGCTCCCCCGAGCACCAGTCGACCCGCCCCTCCCTGTACAAGAGCACGGGCTCCCCGGAGCACCAGGGCAACAAGAGCGAGACGAGCGTGGTGTGCAAGCGGGACAGCTGGATCTGGTTCTCACCAGAGACACGGCCCAGCGTCGAGAACTTCGCTTCCAGGCAGAGGAAGTTCCAGAGTGAGGACCCGAGGGTGGCCAAGTTGGCAGCGGAGATAAGGTACTGTGTGGCCAGGGGTGGGGGTAGGATCCCCAGGGGTAGGGCTACGGCGAAATTTGTTCCGTGAGTGAAGGTACTGTACGACACCCTTGATTTTGATAATGAGTAAAGCCAGGAGTGGGACCTCCCGGGGTAGGGCTTAGGCGTATTTTGTTCCGTGAGTGAAAACAAAGGTATTTCGTTTCATCAGTATATATGTATATCATATCGTCGTGTTTGTATATATGTTCGTGCCATTTCGATGTATGTACTAAACATGCTGTATGTGCCCGCAGGAGACAGGATGAAATGAACCGGGACATAGAGCGCGAGGCTGAGTCACTGATCGAGAGCTCCTCCTTGTCCAACAAGATTCAGATCACCCAGTGGGTCCAGCAGCCCTACCGGCCCGGCCCCCACAACTGTGTCAAGCTCAGGTGTCGGGGCCGGTCGCGGCCGTTCCCCTACATGCGTTCCTGCCACACCCACCAACAGCACCAGCCCAGGGGCGAGGCGTTCCGTCATTCCAAATCCCCCGTCAAGAAGATCATCTGGTCCCCGAATACCAACCAGGTGAAAGTCGTCAGGGAGAAACCTTCCCCCCACTGCAACGTACAACTTCACTACGTCAAATCCCCCACGTTGGAGATTCTAAAAATCAAGTCGGAGTCCGAGAAAGACAGTTCCTCTGAGACGCCGACGTACCTGAGTTTGACGTACGAAGACTACGAGGTCAGCAAGAAAGCGACGTTCACCAGCATCTCAGCCGCGCAACCGCCGAGAATCAGCCCGATGGTGCCCAGACACGACTGCGAGTGTCTAGAAAAAAGAGACAAATCCATCTCCCCTGTCCGGTACAACGCGCCGTGCGCGGAGAAAATCTACAGGCCCAGATCTTACCGGATTTATTCGCCTTTGTACGACAACACGACGCTGCTGTCTTCACATGACACATCCAAGGCGTCCAACCCTGGCTCGCCGGAAGTCAAGTCTAAATCAAAAAGCGAAAATTTCACCACAGAGAAATTCACACAGTCAGTTAGCTACGGTAATGAAGGGAAGTTGACATCTCAGGATAGCTTCCAAGTCGAAACTAGCGAACAAATATCTGAAAGTTACCTAGCGGAACCGACGCAGATGGGGAGCGATATCGGGAGAAACAATTCGGTTACTCGATGTTTAGATTTTAAACAGTTAGGCCACTCACAGATGAAGAACCCGACGGATGATCAGCGTAAGATGATACGGAAAACAGGATTCCCTTATTATAAAATAGCCCAGCCGGGGGTTTTCGCAACAGGAGAATCGGAATCAGAATCAATGCAACGAGAGCAGTTGACGCTAGAGAGGAGTCTTAGACAGAGATTGATTTGCAAGGAGGTCAACACAACCGTGCAGAAAATGTTGTTCGACACGGAGCAGAGTTCGTCTTCACTGAGCCCAAACTCCATGAACAAGCCGGGAGCCAGTCGCAGGGCTGCGGAGAGAAGAACCCTCACCGCGATGACGCAGGATGCTAGAGAAGTCTTCAGGCGTCCCTCCACCTGTAACCAAACCGCTGACTTAGATGTTGCTGAAAACGACGGCACCTTTGAGCTGTCAGCACAGCAGGGCGGGTACACCAACAAGCGGGAGCCTAGTTTCACTTCAGTTCAAACTGCCGAACAAAGTCTGAGTCCTTCCGCGTCACCGAAAAGTAAACGAACCAATATTTATAACCCCGATTACTATTTGGGAAAACGCGTTTGTAGGAAACAGCAATCGAGGCAGTCTTCTGTAGAAGAAATGTATACCGGCAGTGTGGCATCGAGATGGAAGAAAACTAACCCGACGTGGTCTAGAACCTTCTCCAAGAGACCGTGCACGCCCAAGCGTCTGCTGGTACCGCCTTCAGCAAAACACGCGAACGTGAGTTTTGTTTTCAACCCCAAGAATCTTCCACGCATGGGGTTAAAAGAACTCTCAAACCCGACCGAAATCCCAGAACATCAAATATCAGTGCCTCGAGAAACTACCCCGCTCAAAGTTTTAGACCGCCGGGTCTTAGACATAAAGCGTGGAGTTATCTCCCCGGCAGCTGGTGTTATCGAGCTACAGAAGACACCGCAAGGAAAAAACTCCGAGCACGCCGTGGTGACGCCCGCACCTGACCACAGAACGACCCCGTTTCCTCAACCGTTTCCACAGGAACACGTACCCACGGCGCCAGTCGAGACCACCATCACCCAAGACAAAGGAGACGAGGCGAGAGTTGAACCACCTCAATGCCACAACCGCGAAGATGCTTCCCATAGGCCCGTCGCCTCCAAATCCGACATGACCAAAGATAACGGTTCTTTGAAAATTTTATCCGTCAAGCTCGCCACCGGTGACGTTAGCCCTTCCGAGTCCCAGAAGGTCGTGACGTATTCAGACTCGTTCTGGGCCCGGCAGTTCCAGGTCAAGAAGCTGCGGCTTCAGTCGGGTTCCAGCCCAACCGAGAGCGCGGTCTCACGCTCCTGCTCTATCGACACCATCCGGTCCCTGCTCCACACCCCGACCAAGGTGGTGCACGGGAGCGTGTCCCACGTGCCCATCACGGAGAACGTATCGATGGAAACCAACAAAAGCATTATTTCCGGTTCCACCAACAACTCCGCGAGCAACGCCCCCTACAGGAGACCTGGCCCAGCCAAGGAAGAGACAGCTCAGTTCTTTTTTGTGTCGGAGGGCAACGATGGCACCAGACCTGACTTCTCCAGACATGACTTCGCCAAACATGACTTCGCCAAACCTGACTTCGCCAAACCTGACTTCGCCAAACCGGACTGCACAAGACTTGACTGCGCCAAAGCTGACAGCACTAGACTTCACTTTCCTTTTCTGGAGACCGATCACGCACAATTGACATCAAAAGCAACTCAATCGAATCCAGAAGTTCACAGTGCTCCGTACCACACAATTTTAAATCCTGAGAATAGCAAAAACCAAGTACATCCCAGTCAACTGCACGCTGCACTAGATAACAAATTCCAAACGAATCGCTGTGATCGTTCGCCAAATATTAAATTAAAGGAAGATAAAACCACCAAGTCCAGCGATGGATTTCGTTCACAAGATGTACACTGTTGCGAAACCGATTGCGCTAAAGAAACAAATTCTCAACACGAGCGAGAAATGAATTTACACTGTGTAAACAAAAACTCAGTCACCTCGCTCCCAGAGGTATCAGAAGTCCCGTCCCACTTTCTCTTACTGCCACCAACATCATCCGACGAAGAAGACGAAGATGATGACGTCATGACCTACGACAGCAGCGATCTCCTGCCGGTGAATAAAAAAACTCCTCTACAAGAAGATTTACAATCCAATTTCCGGTTGCAGGCTAGGCAGAATAATTCCAACCCCGATTCCGGTTACGAGGAATCGATGTCAGATAAATACCACGTGAATCCCACTGCCGTTCCTATCGTAGCTTGTGGTATCGATTCTGTGATTTATGAGAGTAGAAACGATACACATGATTCTGAAATTGACGCACTGGAGGTTCCGAGTTTTTCCTTATCTTCCACGTCAGAAGAACCACAGTCGGACTTTACCCGCGTAAGCAGCACGTCATTTGGTTCCGGTTCGAATACGGATACGATACCGTCCATCACTGACGATTTCGTTTCACCGGAGAAATCCGAACTTCCTTTTTTTGAAAAATCCTTATCTACAGAGAAAACAATCTCAATGACACAAATTAGTTGTCAGTCAAATACAACACATTGCGACTCGACCACAATTAGTTTAGAAACGGAACCGGAATATTCCGGATGCAAGAGTGTAGATTCAACATTAAGAAAAGCACACACCGTAAGATCCCGTCCTTCACACGTAACCTACTCGACCAACAGCACATGCCTGAGGTTTAGCAGTGCACACAATGTAACCGTAAAGAGGAAAATATCCAGAAAGAAGAAGTCGTTTAGAAATAAAGCTAAGGCGAAATCATCCTTGCTGCACCTCATGGAGCCATTAAAACCATTCACGCCAGGGTTTAGTTCTCAAAGTTCGAATATCAAAACATTAACCAAACAAGAATTTGATAGTTCGCACACATCTAACTCTACTCATTTGCTGAAAGATTGTTTAGAAAACTATTCAGCCCAACGCATTCCAAATCTAGGATCAACAGAAGAATGTTCCCTGTCCTCATCGCTCGAGCATATCCTATGCTCCACTTCAGCGTCCACGAATATTTCTGAAATTTTCCACAACGCACAGGCTAAGTTGAAACCAAGCCTGAATTCCAGCTGCCCAGATTTTGAAGATGAATCTGTGATTTTTCAAAACGTACATGCCAAGTTAACTCCAAACCTTAATTCAAGCTGCCCGGATTTTGAAGACGAATCTGTGATTTTCCACAACGCACATGCAAAGTTAACTCCAAACCTTAATTCAAGCTGCCCGGATTTTGAAGACGAATCTGTGATTTTTCACAACGCACTGGTCAAGTTAACTCCAAGCCTTAATTCAAGCTGCCCAGATTTTGAGGACGAATCTGTGATTTTCCACAACGCGCAGGTCAAGTTAACTCCAAGCCTGAATTCCAGCTGCCCAGATCTAGAAGACGACGAATCTGTGACGATATCTTCCAGCGCCTGTCTGGATACCTCGCAGGCTGGAACTGTGCCTAGCTCTTCTCTCAGCCTGAGCCACATTCTGGGGAACTCTGACGACACGTTTTCGTGTTACAGCGTCACCGAATCATCACGTGATCACCGCGAAACTCAGCCTTCGGTGAAAAATAGTCCGTCGAACATTCTGGCAGACCAGAGCAGCTTGTACCAGGGGACGAAGGACATCCAACAGAAGGAATTTCACACTGTAAAGTCGCCTCACCACAAAGATTTCTCAGCAGACCATACAAGACTTGACCGGAACCAAAACATTTCCCATGGCGGTAAAACAATACCAGGCACTCCTGGGCGTTTATCTCGGAATCCCAGCACCGAGTTACGTCACGAAACGAATCCCGCAGCAAAGAGTGACGTCAAGCGGGAGCTCATCCCTAACAGAAGCGTCAACTTTTCTGAGCTTTTAAAACGATTTTAACGTGTGGTTGATGGTGTGTACATCGACAGGGTTGGAGAGTTGGTGCAGTCTGGGAAATTTAAGACAGGTGCTGTAGACATCAGCACTGATTAGAAAAGGTTTGGTGCAGCTAAAGACAAGTGCTACATAGGTCTGAACTACTACAAACTTGCGCTACATAGGTCTATATGGGCAAAAAAGGATTGAGTTCAGAACATATTTACATGACGGTTAGGCTTCTGACCAAAACGCACCAAAAATTTACAACTAAAATGACGGTTAGGTATATGCTACTGAACAAAACTCAACTAAAAATTTAAAACTTAAAAGACGGTTAGATACAGGCTACTGAGTAAAACTCACCTAAAATTCAAAACTTGAATGACAGTTATGCTACCTGCTAATGATATATGTCAGTGTAAATGAGAGATCTGCTTGGTGACGTAACTTCACACTCAACAGCCAGGCTTGACACTCCACTAACCCACCGGTTTTAACTTTATTCTTTGTTATATCTCGAATACCTATATTTTATATTTATTTCGGACACCCCCCACCGCAACACCACCTAGTTACGCCAATCGTTCTGGAAGGTTAAACCGCAAGCACACTCTACAAAAGAACGAAAAATAACGGACACATCATTATTACAAAAGTTACAAGCCAATGACTAACCAAATGACAAACGTATAAAAAAAAAGCGAGTCAGTTTTATTTGGCCAAACTTTTTAATTTTTTTGCTAAGGAAGAGTTGACCAAAACACAACAGTAAGCTACAGATTCCAGTGTAGGCTTATGCCCTCTTTATAACTGTACGGAATTCTTTAACATTACATTCCTATACAAATAGAAATCTACTTTTCATGAGTCCTAATTTATTACCTATATATTGATTTTAGACTTTACATTAGTAAACTCACTATTTTAAAATGATCAAAATAATAAATACGTAATACATAAGTAATCTTTATATGTGTTTGTTTTATTGAAGTTAAATTAGAATTCTACTCTTGCATTTGCTATCCAACTAGCTTTTGAAACACATGTTCGTAAAGTATTGATGTTTAAACGGCATTAAATTCTGGCTTTTTTGTTTTTCACACAAACTTAAATACACACATTCCTAAACATAATATAATACAGCCAATATTCTAAACACAATATTATACAAGCAATATTCTAAACACAATTATATACAAACAATATTCTAAATAATATTATACAAACAATATTCTAAACACAATTATATACAAACAATAATCTAAACATAATTATACAGCCAATATTCTACACACATTATTATACAAATAATATTCTAAACTCATTATTATATAGTCAATATTCTAAACACATTATTATAAACCCAATATTCTAAACAACTTTCTGGACACAATATTATACAAACGATATTATGCACACAATATTCTAAACACAATATCATACAGTTTTCTGCATACAAAATTACACAAACAATTTCTGCAAACAACAGCCTATCATGCAAACAATTTGTGCATACAAAATTACACAAACAATTTTCTGCACTGGACATGAACATCCAAGTTCCCACGGCCAGAAGCTATTCTAGTACAATTAGACCTTTGACCATAAAAGTAGAGACGTCTTCTTGTGCTAGGTGGCACAGGTACAACAGAACAGTAATTCAGCATCATTCGTTATTTGCGGAGCTAAGGTTTGTATTGAGTCTTGTGCAGGGTTTCTTCCAGACTTTTTTCTCCGGGGGGGGGGGGGGGCACTTGAAATTTTCGGGGGGGGGGGGGGGGGTAGACTTTCTTCGGAGGGGGGGGGGGGCGGACACTGTTAAAAGTATATATTTTCTATATAAATTATATAAATTTCATTTCGTTCGGGGGGGGGGGGGGGGGGGGGGGGGGGGGGCGGTAAAATTTTTTCCGAAGAGATGCCTGGAAGAAACTCTGGTCTTGTGTTGTTTTTTAAAAATTGTTTTATAAGATACTTTCACTATCATTATTCTAATAAATCTAGCTATTTTAAGAATTCTTTTACCCATATTGTCCTAGCTATTTTATAGATACGTTTTTTTTACATTTTTCTTCTTCTTATCCCATACGGTTTACTTAAGGAGCTTAAGAGCTTAAGGACAAGAAGATTTTAATTAAGCAAAAAAAAAAAAATTAATTCTAGAATATACTACTTGTTTGTCCTTGTTTCTCTCTCTTCCCATGTTGATTATTGAAATCGTTAGCTTCCTTCTTAACCGGGGTTTGATTGAACCCCGGGGGGTTCGGAGAGTTAGTCTCGAGGGCAGAAGCGTAGCGACCCTTCCCGGCGCCCGGGGACAAACTTTTCGATTTGCACCCCCCCCCTCAAACTTTCGATTTGCACCCCCCCCCCCCTCAAACTTTCGACGATTTGCACCGCCCCCCCCCCGAGATTTCGATTTGCACCCCCACCTCAAACTGTCGATTTGCACCCCCCTCAACCTTTCAATTTATTTTTCCAACCCATCTTGGCGCCCCCTAAGGTCGGCGCCCGGGGACATATGTCCCCCCCGCCCCCCCCCCCCCCCTCGCTACGCTACTGCTCGAGGGTTCAGTGGAGGTCGAGACACACCTACTCATATGTTTCAAGATGGGACTTTGATAGTGTGGACCAGGGGTCTCCAAACTACGGCCCGCGGGCCGAATGCGGCCCGCGAAGTCCCCTCATCCGGCCCGCGGAGATCTTTTTGTCTAAGGAAAAATCGTTTGTTGGTGATGGTTGAGAAACTTTGCCCAGAGAAATCAAAGACATGCCTAGAAGAAACTGGCCCCCAAACTGAAATTTGATAGTTAATGTGGCCCTCGGTCTGAAAAGTTTGGAGACCCCTGGTGTGGACCATAGAACTGTTAAGAATATTTCGGTGAATGCGCTTCTGAAACTGGTGGGGTTCGGTACCTCATAAAAGGTTAAAAAACCACCAGAGGCGTAGCGGATGGTGGGGGGGGGGGGGGGCGTAGGGGTACATATGTCCCCCGGGCGCCGACCCAAGAGGGCGCCAAAATGGGTTGAAAAAAATTAAAAGCTCATTTTAGCTGCAGTTTTGCATTATAAATATAAAAAAAATATATGGGGAGGGGGGGGGGGGGGGCGCCAACTTGAAAGTTTGTCTCCGGGCGTGGAAGGGTCGCTACGCACATGAAAACCGCTGACTTAAAACCTTTAAAATTCAATTAAGATGCATTGTCATGATGCATTTTTTTCATCAATGTAGGGCAACGTATTCGAATACTGCATTATGTGTCCTCATTGTTAAAATATACACAAGTGAGAAGGAAGAGGGGTAGGGGGTGAAGGGGGTGGTGGTGGGTATCAGGGTTTGTTTTCCCGTCTGCACAACTGCACACATTTCGATAAGAGCGATATGTATTTTTATATGGGTCAAGGTTCTGGTGATCCCAACTTGCGGTTAAGGGTTGGTTGCTTTAAAAATCTGAAACGTAGGTCAGCACATACGAAACAAAAAATACATATTTAAAGTCAGATTAGATGTATATTTTGAGTAAACTAAAAATTGAAACTGAAAGCAGTTTTGGGATTACCCACATGATGTCGTACTAAAAACAACAAACACACGAAAACATCCCGATGAACCTGATCTGCATAACGCTCAATTTTGTGACGTAGTGAGCAGATCTGGAAGGTGGGATGAAATCTGGGTTGAAAGTTCAAAGTTCACAGACCTAGTCTGCCGGATACTGGGAGACA